GGACGAGTTTGTGTTCTGCCGAGATAAGTCCAGTTTTGCGTGATTGCCGTTGGTGTTGGTTGAGTTGGTGGCATTAGCCGCATTGCTCATGCTTCTCACAATACGGCTGTCTTGCCGTGCGTGTTCAGGCTTGGTGGCCGGTGCTGACTGCAGACCAGGCATCATGACATGTATTGCATACCCCTCATCATCACCACCGACTGGCTGCTCTTCATCACTGAACATGAAGATGTCTGATGGCTGCGGAGGCGGTGGTAAGTCCAGTGAGACCTGACTGTACGGGTTGGCGAGTGCCATGCCTTCTTCTTGCGACGACTTTGAAGTGGGCCGTTGACCGCGCAGAGCAGGTCGAATCGGCATGAATGTTGTTTCAATCGCCATGCCATTACGTGGGCGGTGTCTTTCCCCGTCAGGTTCATAAGAGTGGTTAGTGACAATGTGAGACTGAGGGGCAGTCCTCTCATTACTACCATAGTTTGGCACATTCCAGAAGCTGGATGATTTCAGTGGCTTTTGGCTACTATCAGGTAAGTGCACTGGCGCACTTCCCTCTGTTGTGGAGCTACTCTGCTCCGGCAGGCACGCCAACGACTCCTTCCTTGGTATCACTTTCTGAAGTAGTCTGGGCTTGGGTGCCACAGGAGGGCGCATGTGTTGACTGGTAGGTGCTGCTGATCCTTGCTTTCTTGATCCACTGTGTCCCAGCTGTCTCCTGTAATGACAGGAGAAGAGAATACCGCCAAAGGTAGAGTCATGCACCAAACAGCACAGTGGTAGCACCATGGCTCACAAAGTAGCAGAGTTATTGAACATTTACAGTACTACGGATGGTGGAAGGTTGGTGAATACCGCGTTGCAGTTTCCTATGACAATACCTAACTTAGCCCGCGGCTCAGACGGCTTCACATCGTGAAGTTTTCAATTTTGCTTCAACCAATGTGTGTACCCGTCCATTACATCCTTTGGGGTATTCACAAGGATAGTACAGTCGACATTCTGGGCACACCACATTTTGGATAATTATCTCACCAATCCTGTATTCCAGCCTCTTTGGGCCAAGAGCATTCCACATAGTGGCCAGAAGACCATTACTGCATTTGGTTCCTAACCCATTCTGAACAGTACAGATTTCATCCCAAACTTCCCCTTCCATCGGACACACAGACTGGAATTCTATGTTATCAACACTCACCTTTTCAACGACTTGTAACAAGCTATTTGTGCCTGCTCATTGTCGTGCATACCTGCATCACCGAGCCGCTCATTTGATATCTTGAGGGGCGCAGGTGGCCGTGGCGATCGAGACCTTCTCTCCTCGGAATCCAGGGCATTCGGAGTGACACAGCGCCGCGTACTGATGGCTGATGCAAGGCTCTGCCTGGATTGTGAATCGGCAATGCCACCATTGTTAGAGTCAGGATGATTCGAAAGTCGAGATCTCCGGCCACTCTCTTCAATGGCCTCTTCGATGTGTATATTCAGGGGCTTCCTTCTAGCGCTCAGTTTCTTCATTTTAGGATCAGAAGCAGGCGCACTCATTGCCGTGTTGGAACTCTGATCTGCAGGCCTTTCACCCTTGATCAATTTTCGCCTGGACGGGCGGTGCAGGTCTGCTTCACTGCGGAGCTGCTGTTGCTGTTGCTGCTGTTGGTGCTGCTGCTGTTGCTGCTGCTGTTGGTGCTGTTGCTGCTGTTGGTGCTGTTGCTGCTGTTGGTGCTGTTGGTGCTGTTGGTGGCGTTGCTGCTGTTGCTGCTGTTGGTGGCGTTGCTGGTCGTGGCCACCCTGCCGATCACAGCGGTTTGTCTCTTGCTGTCTGGTCTCCGCCTGGGCAGGCAACAGGATGGTGGCACCGCCTTTGTGTGGTGTGCCAACCACTATTGCATCATTTACCGTGTGGGGACTTGGCCCACCTGTAGGAAGCACAGGCAAAGAAGAAATAACATAACACAAAGGATTGTCATTTCAAAAATAGCCAGCAATTGCACGAACATGTTATGAGTCGTGAGTTCTGCTAAAAACACCGTTAAAATACCTGCATGTACATGAACTCCTGGAGCTGAATAGAGGTACGTCTTGATTGAAAAATATGCCGCAAAATTGACCCTGAGCCCTGCTGTGTACTCAAATCGGAAGATACCAGGCTGCCTGCATAGTCAGTCAGCAGTGAACATGATGCAACAGTGATTTCCAGCAGAGGAACTCGCTAGTGATCGTACCACTGGTGTGGTATGACAACACATGTCTGATATCAGGACAATACACGTGGTACACGTTAGCAATTGCAGCGAGATTGGTCTGATTGTATGGAACTCTCGGATGTAGATATGGTGTCTGAAAAGCACATTGTAGGGATGGAACGGAGATCTCAGTGATTCCATTGTATTGAACTCTTAGATGTACTTACAACACGTACATCGGAGGCGAAAGGCTGTGCAGCAGTAACTTCACGTTTCACGAATTTTAATGATCATCAGACACAGGCAATTGGCATTCAGATGTAGTTATGTACTTGAAACATTGTGGGGACCCACAGGAGCTCTCAGTGCTTCCATTGTATTGATCTTACCTGGTGATGATCCAATGTATCCTGACGACTCGTCGCAGTCCTGGAGGCGAGCCAGAGTGGACGAGTTGCTAGCTTCTGAATGTGGCATTGTGGTGGCGCTAACGCTGCGTGGGATTCTGCGATCCAGAGACATGCCCTTGGCCAGGTTCTGTGCCTGTGTCAGCATGGAGAGCAGCAGGTCAGCGGCAATGTCACCTTGGTGATCATCACCACGACGATCATGGCTGCCCATGCCTCGAAGTGTAGAGTTCTTATGCAGATGCTTAGTACGGCTGCTGTTCTGTTCAGTTGCACACAAAGCAGAGCTAGCACGTGAGCACTGGACATCACCACATCGACATTGGTAGTCTGCGACTTGATAGTGTACGTCACAAGCACTGCCATATGGGTAATGGCAGTCACTGGTGCTGGTATCCACCCAGCCTGAGCAATCAGGGCACTGTGCAGAACAAGACGAGAAATCCTCCGGCATAAACACACCCGCATCTCTTGGAAGGTGGCCGCCGGGAGTGGACTGAACTTCGGGAGTCATACACACCGTGTGCAGCGGATTGAAGTGCACTGTAGCCTGGGAATTATCAGCAGGGTATCTCTGCTGCTGACGCTGATCAACCTGCCTTTTCGCCTGCCGCTCACAGCATCCGGCTTGAGATTCCCAGCACTGCTCCGGCATCTCACAGTCGCATACGTAGCTCGGATTGCCTTGCTGATAGCCAAAACCATGAGGTGAGTACATCTCCGAGTCCTTAGCGATGTCGCCAGTGCTAGCAGCTTGCCTCAGGCCACCGGACCACCTTTTGCCCGAAGACTTTCCAATTGAACGCCACTTAGCCTTTATGCTGGCTGTAGCACTGCTGGCTGATCGCCGGCGACCTTGAGGGTCATTCTTGCCGCTGCCCTTTTTGCGAAGCAACGTGCCAGAAGGAGTTGATTTGCCCGATGCCATGTGCAGGTGACTGTTTGATCCGAATGAAAAGCCTCGCGATCTCCACTCTTTTGTCAGTGGGGAGCAGGGACGGATATTCATGTAGCTTTCAGGCCTGGAACAGCATTAGAAGCACACAGAGAACAGTAATTATTTGTGTTGCAGAAAGTGACAATGAACCATGTGCATTTCAAATAGAGTGAAACTTGTGTAAGACGACCGCTCAAGGGACCTGCAAAATGTGGTCCCTGTTGCCAGGTGGTCTCCTTATCCAGGGTCGTTTGGCTGCAAATAGCATCCCGTGGTCCTGGTTATAGCGGTCTTCTGAGGCAGGTGGTCGCCTTGACAGGTTTTACTGTAAGGATAAAAATCACAAGCGGGTTTGGTAGCCCAGAGGATGGGGGGGGGGGGGGTCAGGGGCACGTGTACGTCAACGTGAAGAAGTATACAATCAACTCACCCATTCATATCTTCACCAGGATACGCCAGTCCAGCTTGGAACACTACACAGTGAAAGAGGAACAAGCAGACGTGTGATTGATGCACAGAAATCCCTGTGTGTGCCAGGTTTGGCACTGATATACTACTCCATCATGCATCCCCAGAGACAAAATTTTAGAGACAAATACAATAATAACTCACTAGTTGAGGCAATGGAAAAAGGGGAAAGGTCTGAAGAAAAAATTGACTGTCACCACCAGGATTCAAACCAGGGACCTTTGCTTGAGGCCAGCAATACGTTAGCTACTGAGTTATGGTGTAACTGTCATCCTAGCAGAGACCGTTCAACACCAATCATTATTATTATGTAAAGGTGCAGGGACATGGACCGAGGTTTTTGGGTGTGGTGGTGGTGATGATAATGATGCATAAGACAATCATTGAACTTCACTATCAATAAGTCATCTACATTCTCCCCCATTGACTTTTGCTCATGAAAGGCCGCAACCAACCAAGATTCAACCAATGCGGTGAGTGGTATTCAGACTGAATTTGTCTCTCATGATTATATGCTCTGAAATCAGTGAGCAAATCATCAATATGTTTAGAAGGTTCATTCCCTTACCAAGATCTTGCATTTTCCTGTGCTTGTGAATGTCCAGGACACGCAAACAGATGATGAAAACACAGACTATTGTCAGTAGTAGTGCAGCACCACCGGCAAAGATGTACCACTTCACTGAGTCATGGTGGGCGCTCACCAGCGGAGGAATGTCAGGCCGTGTTCCAAGCAATAACCGTGATGTGGGAGTCACAAACGAAGTGGTGCTAGTTGAGGATGGGACTTGGTTCGTGTCAGGGCTGGCCGGGGTATCCTTGGTCTGGGCTGGTTTCAATCCTGTCATGACCGGCCCCATTGAATCTTCATCGTTTGGATTCAAGATTGGGTCCGGGCTCTTGGGGCGTTCTCCAGGCCACCGTGAATCTGTAGTATGTCGCATGTTTGTACTCGCCATTGGCAGGTCGCGTGTAGATCCGTGCTCCACGGGATTATGTAGCGCTTCGGTCGTTGCTGTTGACGTAGCTTCCACGTTTGACGTCGGCGTCACCTTTGCTATGCTCTCTTGTGTGCGTGGAGGCTGGACGCTGGTAGCCAGTACCATGGGAACACTGGATAATAGATCACCGCGGCCACTGCCGAACAGAGGTATTGGCGGTCCTTTCACTGTGCCAACAACAGATTTGACATCAAGAAGAGAGAACGGCTTGGTCATCACAACTTCCTTCTGACCAGTTACTTAGCTATACATCCAGATAGAACGGTTTGGTGATGACAACTTCCTTCTGACCAGTTACCTGTCTATACGTGCAAACAGACCCTCCTGGTGTAATATACAGTAGTCGGTAGTTTAAAAACCTTTCCAGATTTGTCAGATGTCTGTTACACTGTATTGTCATGCGGTATCTGAAGGCAACATTAGTCGTGTTTTGAACGTGGGCCAAGAGCGCAGTGTGGAGAGGTGGAAAGTTCAGATTATTTTCAAAGGGCCGAGTTTGTCACTACCGTCAAGTAGCGCCAGAGCGCCCCGTCTCGCGAGAGCGCCCCACCTTGATTTTACAGCCAGGGAAAGGAAAATCGTATGGCAGAGTGCAACGAAGTTTGTACGATGTGAGAATCTTAGTGTACTAAGGTCACGCTTGGCAGGGTTTTGTGTGGAGCTTGTGTCCGCTCGAAGGTACGGATTGACTGCAAAACGTGCTATATGTGTACAAGGTTCATGTCGTATGACCTACAGACAGCAGACTACCTCCACAATACGACCACGAAAGGATGAGATGGTGGGGCGCTCTGGCGGTACTTTACGGTACTTCCGTACTTGAAGACATACATACGTGTATAATACAATCCTTCTTATCAAATGCCGACTATAAGTCGCACTCGATTGTAAGTCGCATCCCCATTTTCAGGTTTGACAATCAATGTTGATATCAATGCCGATATCAATGCCAAGCATTCATATCAACGTCCCTCGGAAGTCCACTCTACTGACGTCTGACTGCAGTACATACCAATGAATGCGGTGGATCCATTTGCCATGATGATGCTGACAAACACCGCAATCGCTCCGTAGCGCTCGCAGGAGACTTTACTCAAGCCTCTCAGGGCAGTGTCGAACTTCAGCATTAGTAGGAACGGCATTGTGTCCGGCTGCTTGGTACCCGGTTGTGGCTGTATGCGGATTACACGCACATACACAGCACACCTACAAGTTAGCACAATGTCATTTACAGGGCTGCTCACTGAAATCCAGTCGCGTCACTCAAGTTTGCGCCTTGCACCATTTCGCAGCCCAGTGTTTGCAGGTCTAGGGCTGTGCATTGACCAGCATGCACTTGAGTGATGCGACTGGATTTCATTGAGCAGCACTGTAGTATGGTGTAGGACAATCAGGCAATGGATACATGACTCATGAGGTGCACAGGAATCTACTGCGTCTAACTCCAATACAATGTAACAACTTATTCAGTACTACAAGAATTCAAACTTCCAAACACTCATTATCCCATAGGAACCTTCAGAGCCTTGCACATAGGCCGAAATGCTTCATCTAGGTAAACCTTCCTTGATGAGATGCCAAGAACTCACAGGGACAAGTGGATGTAGCCATATTTTCCCCGATGGCACGGCTTCGTCCACACTGCTTCGCGGAGGGCAGATTAGGAAGGGAACAGCTAGCAGCAAACAGCAACCGACAGCCGCCATGCTCGACCTCAAAAGTGAGCGACATGCGAAGAACCTTGCACTTCTCCTCCAGGTTTTTTCGCCTCTTCGTCATTTCGGTAGCAGTGCTGGGCAAAGCTGGACGAAACTCAGTTCAGTTGCTTATGTAGCTCTTTCGGCTTGACTAGCACCTCTAGTGTGCATGACCGGGAAGAGCGTGACATGCATCGATAAGACAAAGTCTCACTGAGTAACTGAGGCGACCCTCAAGTCGAGTTGCTACACCAACACAAGGGCGAAAGAGTTGCGACATCTACAATGCAGGTCTACATGGCTTCAACAAGCCACGGAGTCCCATCTCTTTTGTAAGGGAGGGAGGGTGTGGGACATTTCTACACCACCTTAGCGCCCTATGTTCATGTTGCAACACGGACTTCTGCAGAGCACACTGAGTTAACACACGCGCACACCGCTAGGCACAAAGAGTGGCAATCAGATAAACTCACCTCACCGATTGGCAGCCGAGCCACGGTGGTGCACAATATTCACATTTCGTTCCATCGACGACTTCGAGTCTCCCCTTTCTCGCTCATTCTTCAGTTCATAACACCAGCTCGGGCGGGGGAAAAAATGGACAAGAGTCTACCGCAGCCAGACGAATGTAGGACATAGAAAGCGTCAGGAACAGAGTGCCTCGCTTCTCATGGAGATGCAGTACGGCGGGTTCAAAACGACGAAAGGCAGTTTCTTCTTTTCCCCAATCTACAGCCAGGTTTGGTCAATACGCAGAGTGAAGCAACACCCAAGCAGATACACGAAAAGCTTGGTCAATCTGCGATCCGTTAGTACCTTCAAGAGGCCGTGATACCTTCGCCGATCACACGCTCCTCGCGGAGTTAGAACCGTGGGTAGCAACGAGGTGACCGTCGATCTAAAAGCGTCCGCGCACACTCTCCAACACACGGTGGTGTGTGCTTGACGCTTAGTTCAACTACACTGCTCCACAGCACAAGCAGCAGCCACCGACCAGCTCACTGCAGCCGATCTGCGCTACGTCCGTCCAAGGGGTTTCTTCGCCAGGCCGGTTTCACTTTCTTCCAGTGGCAGTTGACCTTCGGCCTGCAGCGGATCAGAAGACGCTGCTCTAAGATCCAGTGAAACAATGCCCCAGCCCAAGGGACAGATCGAAGAAAGCTGCCAGGGTGGAAGACGATCTTTGGAGCTTGCTTGCCACTGCGTGTAACGTTATCACCATACTGTAACGGTATCACCATACACAGCTAGCTACAGGGTTCGAGCTAGACGAGAGACAAAGAACACTAGACGTCTGTGTGTTCAGCTTCCACGTCTGCCAAAGGCGGACCAGTGCAGCTGTGCAACATCAACGTAACCACGTCGTTGCACTTACACCTGTTAGTTGCAGCTCAAGACAAGAGCTAGCTGTCCGCCTGACACTGTGACCTAGTGACCTGGCCTAGGCCCCATCCAATCATTGGACAGCGCTTTCCCCGCCGGTGCAACGACTGCCTGGACTGCAGATCTACATGTCATTGTCGTGACCTTGTCTTTACGTACATGTACAGTAGATCTACGTGTTCATGCTTCGGTGCTAGATTTCATGCCCTTCTATGACCAGATCGTTGACCATAGGCATAGGCCATGGCCATGATGACTTTTCACTGTCATCAGGCCCGGATGTAGAGCAAACCACTACGTGTACCGCCGGTTCTGGCACTAGGCAGAACTGATGATGATGCTAGAGGAATGACAGTCAGTACGTCTTCATGGGCCATGATTCAAGGTCTTCATTTCTTATCATGGTCTGTGAAGATGGTTTGATGCGGCTACTCTGAGATTGAGGTATATTGTTGAAAACAGTGACATTCATGTTTCCAATGCCAATGGTCAATGTACATGAAAAAAGAACAAGGGGCTTGACTATAGCCCTTTGACCGGGAACATCATTCACTGTTCAGTTACCTGATGATGGCCATGTGCCGAAACGTTGTTTAATAATGGAAGTGGTTCAGATTTGCAGTGAGACTGGAGTGGGTGTGTCCACCCAAACTGCTTTTGTATCATGAAGCTGCAGTAAGCCTCAAGACTTCTTTTGACATCATCTCTTCCCGAGATAATGGGGATAGAGAGAAGTACTGCTAACCTGCCACATACAGAAACAATCGAGTGTACATTGTACATTGTAGTGCTGTTGCAAATCCATGTACATGTACATTCCTTTGACCCGGTCGGTCGCCTAGATTCGGCTAGGTCCAGCCTACACTACAGCCGAAACCATGGTGCCTCCCCCCCCCCCCCTGCCCCTGGCAAGACTGGCTGTGGTCGTGTACATGTACATGACTGTTATGTGCGTGTGGATCTGCATACGGCACAAGGCCAGGCAGCCATGGATGGCTTTGGCACGGGGTAGCGCGCCGGGGTCTCGACCGTCTCGCGGGTAGGCCAAGGCATGGCAGAACATGGTAGACCCGGTTGACAGCGGGAAAGAGTCGGCGGCGGTATCACTTCCTCTCCCCGGGCAGGCAGAGTGATGGACGCAGGCAAGCCACCAGTGCAGTTTCACCATGCATTGACTTGTGGATGAGCTCGCTCGCTATGGCTAACGAACTGCGTAATAACCTGCCGCCGCTGTACATCAAGGCATCATTGACCTAACATAGCTATTATTAGCTACATGTATGGCATATTGCTCACTATGAGTATGATATTATAGTACCTATTGCTAGGTTCTGACAAGGGCCCATCAGTAGCAGAGTGTGTCCTTGCTAACATGTTTGCCCGGTCGCTGGAACATTGTACGGAGCTGGAAGGCACATGTTGCAGCCAGGGAGTCGCGGGCATTCACGACTCTAATAATAATAACTCTAGTCCCTGATTGCGAAAAAGGAATTAATAATCCTACATCATCTCCTTCTCGATAATTGGACATGGTCACACGTACGTGTACCCGTGGCCGTGGCTGTATTCTCCGAGATGCATACATGTATTGCCAACTGCGCAATTCGAGCACTGCAAGAATTTCACGTCCAAAATCATGGTTCGTAAGTAAGTTGGTACATCTCATTGTTCAATTTTACGGGCACCGATGAGCAAGTGCGAAGAGGAATGGGAAGGACACCTCCTTTCCAACAAGAAACCGCAATCCTCCTGTATCAAGAACAGAGTACTCCATGGTAGAGGTGGCTGCAGTCACGGCTGTCGTGATGAGGCTGGAGTATCTCCGCCGACCTGAGCCTGGGGTCTCGGCTTCACTTCAGTGACACTGCAAGCACCAGGGGTGAGGAACAGTAGACAGAGGGGAGAGGCAGAGTACATTGTACAGAGGGAAATTGAAATTGAAAGATGATCAGAACATAACCAAAATGGGGAGCCAGGGTGTGATCAGAGAGGGTCTCCACTCTCCAGGGACGGTTCAGAGGTCATACATGTACATGTTTATCTGTGGCTGAAGCCAGTCTCGACTGCGGAGAGACTTGTACTAAGTATTGTGCTTGTAGGCACCTTCCTTGAAACGTTGACTGCCTGCATGCGCTTCCTGCACACAACGTAGATCTACGCAATGATGGGTAGCCAACATAATAGGCTACAATAACAAAGTCATGTACAATGTAGGTCTACATGCACAATGGACTAAATCTGCCAGTACACTGTACTACAAGTAGGCAGTACAGTAGTTCCCGCTTATCTGCGCATACAGAGACAGTGACCATGGTGACGCTCAGTGCCTGTGGTTGCGGAGTGTTTCCCACAAAACTACTTGAAGTATGATACTTGTCTTGTGGATGACACTCTACCACCATCGGCATAATAATTATTACGATAAGATCGTTACTAGTACTTGGCGGATGTTGCTGCCATATTTAAAGGTTTCTTGCAAAAGAAAAACGGCAATCATCAGGCAACGGCTGTGTACAATGGACTACCATCGTAAACAGTACACTGCCCGTGCAGATTATACACAAAGTCAGTCCAAACGTTGGCAATTAGCTGCCTGTTGTATGCACCACACCACACGGCAAACATACATGACAACTACATCACGGTACGTAAGAAAGAGAAAGAAGTCCGGTTGGAATTTGTCACGTACACGTACATTTCAAGTTTTCTCCAAAGCCTAACTTACTAGTTGCATTTCAAATGGAGGGTCCCAAGGAACAAAAGAGATAAGACATTTACTTTTCGAAGTAGAAAAAAGAGAGAAAATACTGAACGCCAATAAGCTCAGTGAGTTGGTGGACAAGCCATTGGTTAGCCACGCTCATCGTATTCAAAAAAAGTATTCTTTCTAGACCAAAGAGTGGTATATTTGATTAATAAAGATACCCAATAGAAATATTTACGATACTTTTCCAAACGTTTCGGTGTCTGAACAACATCGTCAGTGGATTTTTATCCATGGACGATGTTGTTCAGAACAACGAAACGTCTGGAAAAGTATCGTAAATATTTCTATCTTTATTAATCAAATATACTACTCTTTGGTCTAGAAAGAATACGTTTTTGATAATAAGCTCAGTGCACAATGACTTCGACCCCGTGCATTTTCATCATCCACCAAATTCATTGCACGGCTACGTTTAGACTCATAGAAATTTAGAGCAATACAATGAGCACAGGCCCCATACAAAGTCAATACCCCCTCGTCACGAAAATACATCTTGACCTGCCGCGCGCAGTGCTATGACAAGTACATTATTATTATGTACCTCTCCGTGCTTTTTTTGCTGGCGTTTGCACCCTGATAGCTTCTGGCTACTACAGTCGACCTACCCAATATAACGATATTTGCGTCAGACCAAGAAATATTGTTATAAGGGTTAAGGGTTATAAGGGTAATACTGTTATAACTTTTATAAGGGTAACTGGTTCATTTCATACACATACATCATAATGCATGGATTTTGTTCATTTTTTACGACTTTTCATAGCATAAAAACTGCCATACATGCCCATTACGTACACAGCAAGGTGCCCACGTCCACTAGCACTGGTGGCCCCATTAAGCATTTCGTCATGTCCCTGCGACTTATCAAGTGAAGCTTGGCCTACCTGGATAGTGTGATCTACATATTCCCTGCTAGATATTGTTATAAAATGGAAAATGTCGATAGGTCAGCCCATTTTATAATATTATTATAGTTATAGGGGTAATATCGTTATAGCAATATTGTTATAGAGGTAAGGCATTGTATACAAAAGTCAATGGAGTGATTTGGTTTGACAGAAAAATATCGTTATAAGGGTAATATCGTTATAGGGGTTATTGTTATAAGGTAGGTCGACTGTACTAGTACTAGTATCTTGTAAACAGATTTAAAAAAACACTCCATCTCAATTGCACTTGGTAGCCGCTTTTTATGTGCTTAAAGGCCATCTCTGGTCTCTTCAGTGTACTTTGCAAAATGCATTTCGTAGCAGAAGAAAAGACAGGGCCCTGAGGGCTAGGGGTGCCCTGGGTTCACAATTTTATCCAACCAAACCAGGCGCGTGCGCCGGTGCCCTTCAAGGGGGGCCTCCCCCGGGATAATTTTCAAAAAATGAAGCAAAATCCTGCATTTTGAGCGAAAAAGGGGGGTTCCGGGCACCCATACGGGGCACGCGCCTGCAAACTAGAGTGCAAAACGTGTGCTCAGATGAAGATAAAGACCTATTGAAAATACTCTTTGTGCTGAGACAAAAAAAATGTGGTACGGCAACACCAGCTTGCAAGAATTCCTAGAGTGAGGAGATGCTATTTAAGCATCGTCATCAGCGGCAGGTTGCACACGTATAATTAATGGAAGCACTGTTAATTTAAAAAAAACTATCCTAAGTCGAAAATGTACTAGAATATCAAAGGAATTTGGCTGAAAATACTTCATAGTAATGCAGCTAAGCATGCAACATGTTTATTTACAACAGGATTTGCTTCACGACCATCGACCACTATCAATTATTATGGTAGAGAGCATTGCCATACTCGTGATTATGATGATCACTGGTGAACCTCTACAATTAACCATGCACCTGACATATTATCTGGCTGCAAGTCTGAACGCATCCGGTAAATCAGGTCAAGTCTTTTCGCCTATATGGACATACAATCATGAAGATCAAAAGTACAATGCCGCACAGAGCACTGTACAGGAGTAGCACCCTAGGCACAAACCATCATCAAGATGGTGACTGGCGTGGTACTCCTCAAAGGCCTAAGTGACGTCGGCATTGTCTTGCTCTCCCCTTATCTTCGATCATGATTTGCTCTATTGCTCCACACAGCTTCTCCAAAGTCGCATTGCCGTCTCTATCCATCCAAACCTTTAACATCTCTGTAAGGAACACAGCATCTGTCAGCTGCCGTGAGCGAGGAAGTCGGTTCTCGACGAGGATGTTTGCACGTCCACCGGAAACGATGAATGGCGAGATGAGATACTCAGAGACCAGGCGCATCTCAGCCCCGTCAATGAGCTCCATCAGGCAGTCTTGCAGTCTCATCAGATCTCGCTGCGACCATAGTGCCAGCTTCTTATCCCTATCACCAGAGAAAGAAAGGCACATCACAAGGGGTTGAGTGTGTTTTACTGGCTTCTTGAGTTACTCGGGTCTACCACGGATTGCCGAAAACCAGTTCACAGAATGACAGTTCACAGAACGACAGTTCACAGAACGACAGTTCACCGAACGACTCTACCTCGAACGATGATTCACAGTACAGTCAACTTCGCTTATGACGACACTCGGCGGGGCATCAGAAAAGTGTCCTTATTCGCGATGTCTTGTTGTACCCGAAGTCTCATTATACGTGTCACAGTTGGATGGGACTTTGCTCTGGGCATGAAAATTATGTCGTTATTCGCGAATTGTCGTTATATCCGCAGTCGTTATAAGCGAAGTTGACTGCACGTCATTTCACCGAAATTCATGCCTCACCGCAGAGACAACTCACCGAAATCACATCCCCACAGAGGTCCCCACACCGAAAGACATTTCACATATGTCTCTTTGACCGTATGACCCGTTCACAGAATAGAACCCAGTCACGAACAACACCTTTGGTGCTCACAATTTTATGTCATCATCATTGGATATTGCACGCAAAAAATGGAAAAAATAAAGAAACAAACCAATTCAACGTTGAAGTTTAGTTCAACATGCATATAATTTTAATACCGAAAAGTTCTGCCGGTCTCCGATTCTCGAGGATCGACAAATAAGGCCAAATTATGTGCATTTCCTGAGAATTTTCCTCTTAGGAACCCGGCTTCGGTTTGAATGGGGAAAGTAGTTATGAAGTTGCATAACCGTTGGTCGATTCGAGAATAGCGCTGTCGCGGCTTTGGTCCAGTATTCCCCGCAACCAGTTGTTCCAGCTTTCAGAGCATGCCCCGCTCCTCCTTTACCAGACTGTCGATGCATGTCCAGATATTCGGGTGGGGACAATTGACGACTGACGCAAACCGACGACGCCAACAATTGCCAAGCCCCTTGAGGGTTGTTTGTGCGGTGCGTTCCAGCTGTTGTCCAGTCACTGACATTCCACCGATCATGTAGAAAGCGTGGTGTTCATCTACCACTATAAGCCCTTAGTGTTTCGATGCAGTACGTTTCAAAATAGGTCAATACATCTTTCGCTTCAGGAGAGAAGTTTTTACGAGATGCTCAAAGCAGTTGACTACTTGATCCAAGGGTGCGATCGCGAGCGCAGCAATGGACTTGAGCTTCAGCTCAAACTCAGTGTCTTGACAGTTGCGATTTGCAAGACCTGCAGCTTGGATGTGCCAGAAATATATTTTGCAACAGGTGAAAATTAATTTTATTATTATTATTATTGCAAATAACGCTGAGCAATTACACGAATGTATAAAGACCAGCATTTGCTTCCGGGAAGGATTCACAAAAATAAGATAAAAACACCGAGAATAGCATCCATGAATTTCAACATGTGGAAATTTCAGCCAAAGACAGCTAAACTTTGCACATTTTTCGATGTACATGTGCGTGAGGGAAATAGTGCCAATTTCGGTGAAAGGATCGTTCGGTGTGGTGTAAAATTCTGCGAAATGACGTTCGATGTGATGGCTCACTGTGAACCTGGTTTCGGTGAGACAGGTTTTCGGTGAATTGGTCTGTCGGTGTAGAATGCATTCTGCGAACCGTCTTTCGGTGTCACGTCGTTCGGTGAACTGTCGTTCGGTGAAGTTGTTTTCGAGGAACAGTCGGTATCCCACACTACGGGTGGTGCAGTTAATCCGTTGTGTCCATTATCCGAACACAGCACGATAGGTCCAACACTCATTTTGGAATTTTTAATCTACAAGGGCAACCACTGAACACGAAGTGAACATTTTCTTGTTATATTTTACCTCTGTTAGCATGGAACTCTTGACACACACCCTGGTCGGCAGTTTCAAAGTAAAGGGAAGAAAAGATTGCACATTCCCGTTACCGCCCGCTACAAATATTTGCCGAGACGCGCAACCAGCTTAGGAAGTTTCGCACGTGCCAGCCAGTTTTTTTGTTGACGTCACATTATTCAAAACCGTTGACGCATGTAGCGCAACGCATATGCTGGAAGGCGACAACTTGTTCTCCAGCTACTGTAGCTTTTTACCACGCTCACAGTGCAAGTTTATGGAAACCTTGCCAAGTTCACGATGCCACAGACTCGCAGTGCATGTCTCGTACGGTATTGCTCATGCTCTGCACAAAAGCCTCAATGTGACGTCAACAAAAATGGCACCGTGGGCCCAGCCAAGCGGAGTTGCACACTCTTGAGGTTTGTGCACTCTTGTTGCTATGCGGCACAAATCCCAAACACCTAACATTTCAGAGGTTATTATTTCTCGCGTAACATTTTTTTCCTCTTGCAAATATGGCGTGATGTTTTTTCTTCTTTTGTTCTTTTTTGCTGACTTCTTCAGTTAATTTTTTAGTCTCACCAGTATCCCCGCCCTCCCACCCTTCATGTCTATACACCTCCCCCCCCCCCCCCCCCCCCGGTTTCTATCTTTGCTGTGGATATGATGTGCCAGGCTGTGCCTTGCACCGCGATGCAGTGTTGCCACTTGGGGCTGTACACTCGGTTTTTCCCTCATTCATGCGCACGTCGGCGCGAGGGATATTCCCAGCTGGCTCAGTCCAGATAAATTTATCTGACGGTCCCAAGCGGTGTTTATCCTGGCCTATTTCTGTTAGCCAAGTGTATTCATTCTTTACTCCTGGGGCCCTGTTCCCTTATTGTTGCTCCTAGTGTTTGTCTGCAATCCCGTTCACATTTGGCTGCGGCCTACTACCCCTCACGTTGTGTGCTCCTGCCTCCGCTATCTGTGTCTAGTTGTATGCCGGTGTATGTGGAGTGAGAAGCATAGGTGAACTATCTTATCATCAGATGTCAGTTTGTATACTCTCGTGAGTCTCAAAATTGCTTGTGCAGTTGGAACGCGTCCCTGTGTTCCGTGATCAATAACTAGTTAGTATCGTGACGTTTCTGACCCATTTTACCAGCCGGATCGCAAATATTTTTATTACTATTTATTTTACATCGGAAGCTCAACAATGCAGCTGCACAAGTATAAAGAGGCCGATGGGACCACAAATAAAAATACTATTTATCCATAAGTGCGCATCTCCAATATTAAAACAGTCTCCAATAGTAGTACAGATCTGACCCCTTCTAAACTTAACAAATGTACTGTTCTAGTTGGGACAGCAGTCAGTACGGTAATTTATGCTGTGCGCTCGCTACTCCGCACCAGCTTCCCAGTCTCACACTAGCCAACCTGGTAAGAGATCCAATGCCAATGGCCCATCAACACAAACACCGTGCAAACTTACGCATCGAAGCGAGGATTCTGACCGCCTCTAGCACCGCTCATCTCGAGTTAGCCAGCCAGTTAGTGGAGTTTAAACAAAAGACACAGTTACACGGCAACGTCCAACAACGATCAACGAACACAAACTCAGTAGATCTACCATTCAACAGGTCTATTTCAGATACTAATATTACTAATAATAGTCTATGTTTGGTCATGCACGGTCCGTTATTATAAAAATCCCGAAGTTTTGTCGAGAGGGGAAATTATTTTTTGAAATGAGGCGTCGATCGAGGTCTTTCATGCATGAGATGCATGCATGCACTCGCGCGCGCGCTGGACATCGATCGACATGACATGAATCGGCGCGGTGTCAATAATTTTCGCATTATTTTCAAGCGCGGGGTCGGGAGTCTTTTACACAAACTGCAAATAATTAAAGTCTACTTCTTGACTTCAGTCTGTTCAGACTTTTAGTTCTAATTCTGGGGTAGTACTACTACTAGTACTACTACTAGTACTAGTAGGTGAGTAGAGGTGAAAGTAGCGCTAGCACCTACGCTACAGCTACGCCGGTTTTCTTGCTGCCTCGATACCCCTTGCTTTCCGTCCGAATCAAGCAAGGGTCCCTGCACTAGCCGCATGTCATGATGGCGTCTGGAAATGAAGCATGCAGAAAGCTGACTTTAGCGCGAGATGGTCTAATACAAGATCTCAGCCCTATTCTCTTTCTCGACCAACTGGTACATCGAGAAGTAGTGGTGCCAGGCGCAGCCGTGGACAGGACACACGCTGCAATGAAAAATCTGGGCAGAACGGACGCTGCACGTGTGTTACTTGAATACCTTGAACGTAAAGTCGCTGCGGACGCGAGCGTTCTGGACAAGCTCATCGATTCCCTTAAAGAATCGAATCAAAAGCACTTAGCCGAACTGCTCAGAAGACCTGTCCCACCTCCTGTGCAAGGTAAGGTGCACTCAGATCTCTCCGGAACCGCGTACCATAACGGGCACCGCTCATAAATTTTAGAAATTTAATGTCAGTAACCACATACATGATTGGGTAATCATGGGTACGTTTCAATGGGGAAGAGCCAGAGATCTCGCATATGACACTAACTAACTTACTTCGAGGTCTGAATAAAAGAGATGTGCGTGTACTGTAATGTGTATTCATCCACACTGGCTACGACTGTTGCCTGTTATCACAGCGGAAATACCATAATGTTATGGTGCCCAATGCTGTGGACAGCAAGCTGTTTCAGCCATAAAGGCCTCATCAGTACAGCTACGAGCTTTTTAAAAGCAAGTCGAGCTACCAGCCATGGTGCAAAGGAGGCATCACAGACATTAAGATAGCTCGTCCATCTAGCGCCAGAGTGCTCTACCTACTAAAAGAAGCGGGCAATGCGTAATGCAGCAGCACTAGAGCAGCCTACCGAGAGTGCTCAAGAAGACAAATGTCGAGGAGCGCAATACTGTAAAATGATGGTAAAAATATCTATCTATCTATGCACACATTAAAGCTGTGCTGCTTTGAGGTGTGCATAGAGCTATGTATTCAGCTGTACTCTTATGTCCTGATCACGGCAAGTTGTACAGGACACCGCATTCCTGTGACGACGTCACTGAGACTGGCCAGAGATGCATGCATGACGTTGCATGTACACATTGATTGTAGAAATGGCCGGTTGCGGAGTCCGTTCGGTTGAGGAACAGCTTTGCCCGGTGTTCTCAGGTCGAGTATAAATCTAAACTCACCTAACAAAGCATGTCACACCGTGGCACACGCTTAATTGTTCTTCCCGTCAGGGGATTTCCAGGATGCCCAAGATGATGACAATTGTCCCCGGGAAACTAAAGTTATGTCCGATTCAAGGGAAAAATTTGAGGGCACAATTCTCCACATACATTGAATTTAGTCCACAAAGGGTTAAACCAGTACTGTAGCATAATATACATATACTGCTGCATTGAAGTGTCTGTATGGTACTATGGTGTGCATATCACCTTTTCCTTCTTCTCTGCATAACCAGCAGCCGGGGCAACGCCAGGAAATGATACCACATTCACCGCAGTGCAACCTACAGGCATTAATGAGCTTGACAGCTGCCCGCCCAAGGATATAGCTGCCGGAAGTGAACTGTACGATCTTAGTAAAGGTGTGTACGTGTGTGTACGTGTATATATATGTGGTGGGTGTATGCATGTGTGTATGTTCGTGCATGTGTGTTTGTGCGTGCATGTGTGTTTGTGCATGCATGTGTACTTGAGTGTGAATGGGTGAGTGAGACAGATACCATCGGCGCACTTGCTATGCACCTTGTCCTTACTCCCCTACTGTGGTTTTGTGAGCTTATATGTGGGATCTCATTAAGTTCGAGTCCTGGTGGTGACCAGGGGCGTGCTCAGCCCCCCCCCCCCCAACTAGGGGGGAGCCGAGGGGAGCCCCCCCGGCAATTTTCTACAATTTCTTTGCAACCTTTCTTGAATTTTAGAGCATATTTGCATACATTACAATTGCAATTACCCAGATTGAAAATTTTTGGGGGGTGCACGTGCCCCCCGTGCCCATCGCCGAGCACGCGCCTGGTGACAGTCAATTTTTTCTTCAGACTTTTCCCGTTTGTGTCTTTCCCTCAAACCAATGAATATCATAAAGTCCACCTGGAAATAATTCTTTTTTTTTGGGGGGGGGGGGTGTCGGCCTTCGGGAAGTTCACTAGTCGGGTGAGTCTTCTTTCAGGAGTATTTCTGAATCTCTTCTCTTCTCTCCTAGGTAGACGCACGTGTCGCGCTTCTGGTACTGCACGGATACTGCCAACTGCGTTTCCTAAAGCTGTCTTGCAAACTCCTGTCCCCCCCCCCCCCACACATATACTGGCAAAGCACCTGCAGACAACTTGTTGTCTGTGGATCTGGATGTGTCTTTGCGGTACTAAGCAATCAAGTATGGCGTTGCTATCTTGACTCCTCTTCATGCAGAGTCGCTTCAGGATAAGAGCGATCATGCAGACTCTTCCGAATGTGTACCGTCAGGAGTGGATGTGCTTCGCCGAGGTCGTCCAAACATGTAAGTCTAGTTTGAAGTATATCTGTGCATAGCATAGTAGATGTAATGTTTTCACAGTTATTGGGGACCTGAACTACTCTGCCAATCGCTCCGTGGCAGTGATGGTCACTGCTTGGTACTCAACAGTCTAGAGATGGACGGATCAAGTGCTCTTTTTGCTCACTGGCGTGTATTTTGTTTGGAATGCAGGGAGATGGAGTTGACGTGGCTTCTTGATGTGGAGGAGTTTGGTAGATCCATAGAGAAACATTTATCCTCAGCTAGCTGTGGTAAGACATGCATTTTCGGCAGCTGCATTCCAAAGTCCCAACCTATGCTTCAGTTACTAATGCATCTGTAAATTTCCTCTGAATGTCCTGATATACCAAATGGAAATATTGCAGTCAGTTACCCTACATTTGAAACGTCTTTGCAATACGATTATCGGGTGCTTGTTTTTGTATTGCAAAACACATTTCTACTTGAATAAATTCGAGTAACACACATGATGACCTACAATGTAAGTAAAAAGAAAGTATAGAGAGGGCCCCTGGGCTTTCAAGCCCTCTCGTTCTGTCTTTTGGCCAAAGGAAGAAATGAGACCATACAGCAAAGCAACAATTCCTGTGTTTCTGGCAAAGTGAAAAAGAATGTTCCAACCAACCTGCGGGCCTGTTTAACAGTAATGAAGCAGTTCTTGAAATGTATGAATGTGATGTAACCATCCAATACTGTCGTCGAAGACTTTATTCGTACTTGCATATCCGACCTAACGTCTCGGTGTCCGTTTGTCTCTCTGTGTGGCTGTACACTTGTTTCTTTGGCTAATTCGTGAATGTGCCTGTGTATGTTGTCTTGCTGTGCACCTTGCAGAGGATTTAGCACGTCATGCTGTGAAGGCGGTCGACGATCCGGTGCATAATTTTCGCAACATTGTGACAAGATGGATTCGGGACAACGAGAAGGGCAGGGCTGAACTCGACAACGTTCCTGGTGTTCTCGCGTACTACATGACTAGCAAGTCCAAACCTACCTGCCAACATCTTCTAAACATCATCGAGAAGATCAATCCAGGCATTGCACCCAAAGTCAAAGTCATTATCAAGTAAGTTAGTTCAGATCACACGTGGCATGGAATGCCGATGTATCCACTGATGCTGTGTTCCTACAGTGGCATATCCAGATATGTGAAATGACTGCCAAAGATTGAAGTCAGTTAGCAAGGCGAAGGTTGAGTGGTCTTGTCCAGCACTTTCCACCACTTCCATGGTCCTCCACGTGATGGATATCCTGTGCACAACATCATGTGGATATGTTGGGGATGTTTGCGTGACAGAGTATTTCCACTGTTTCATTCTTTCTTTTCTGTCCAGCTCTGCAAAATTCGACCGATCAATGCTAACCCAGTGTTGAGAGTTTAGTTGAGAGCCATTTCTTCGATGGATGAAGTCATTGAAGGTTTAGTTGTGGACCTTCCGATGTTGGCAAGGGAAGAGAGACAGAGACTTGGAGAGAAATAGAAGCAGATAGTAAGAGAGAGAGAGAGACAGAGAGAGAGAGAAAGAGAAAGAGAGAGAGAGAGAGAGAGAGAGAGAGAGAGAGAGAGAGAGAGAGAGGGGCAGGCACTCGAGTGCACCTACGTTTTCCCACTCACCTAGCACAGCATGAGTGCTGCACGACTTGCCTGCCAAATCTGCCGTATCTATTCACGGTATAAACTATTAAGGACGTCGAAACCTTCCGTTCTATTAATTGTTCTATGGCTTAGCGCAAAAATTAAGATATCACCAGGCCAATTATCGCCAGTGCTGGGGCCATTATCATCAATATAATTTTAATTTTCATAAGAGCGATGCCGACATTAGCTAATTAGTAGTTGTGGCATTAGTACGAAGTATTAGCAGTGCATGTTGATTCGATGATATCTAGTTTGGCTTGCAATCGAAAGAGATGGAATGGACCACATAGACGTCCTTGCCACTCGTAATTTCTCTTCCTAGCACTTGAAAGGAACTGTGAAATTAACATGCTGCTGGAATATTTACTTATGTATAGTGCACAATCTTTCAAGCTTGATATCCCGCGTGTATGTGTGCATGCGTGTGGGATACGGGAAAATCTTAAAATGCACCGTGCATTGGCTGAGCTGTCCAAATGGGGGTGACCCCGGTCTGCCGACGGTGCTCCCCTCGTGTGGTATTCGCTCTGCACGCGGCATGATCTCTTCTATGCTGTACTAATAAAGTTGACCTGGTAATCGAGGGAAGCATGGATGCAGCTTTGACTATTTTGTGGTGGGTCTGATCTACTCACTTCCCACCGCTAAGGGGCTGCATCTGCGTCTTGATCCATACAGGGTGGTCGCATTCCTATGGATGCGGAAAACTCGGCTGGAACCGTGATTTTTTGGTTATTCATCATGGCATCTTTCTAATAAACTAACTATGTGTGGCACCTACACGGACCACAATTCTTGTAGGTTTGTCATTCCTACTTGAAGTAGCTTGTAGCATGTTTCTATTCTTATTGGCGTAAATCGTTCTCCTCTCCCTGGTGTAGAGTTTTAGCCACAAGCAGCATAGATATCAAGAGTTTGTTGGATGTGCTAAAACGATGTGATTCAGCTGCTGCGGATATCGACATGCCGCACTGGCTACCCGTATGAAGGTCACTGTTTTTTAATGAACACACAAGAGATGAAGAAGTCTCACATGACACTGTGTTACCGGTGAACAGGTGAAAGCTAGACTGATTTATTTTATTTTTATTTATCGTCTCCACTTCATGGGGTCGTTTTCTGCACTTGTGCCAGTGGTTGTGAGACTTGCCCACTCACCCCCACCGTTAGGCGCTGCATCTGTCGCTAGGGTTTATCGGGTGTTAGCGGCCGTCGTGAGTTCCCTTCGGGAACGGATCATGTGACGATAATTTCCTTCTTTTTTTTTACTTCATGGCACATAATAATACATAGCCAATACAAGAAAGGGAGGGTGAATCCAACCACGGAAAACAGCTTTAATGCAGCAAAGGCTTGATCTGGGAACTGTGACGGTCTTTGTAAACAAGCTACATCATGTAGCTGTAGGCATGTCATGAACAGTGAATCAAAGATAATAGTAGTGTAATTTTGATGTGTTCAACTGATTGTCTACACACATGCACAAGTCACAGAGCACCATACACCACGCATTTTTGTTGTTTTTAGAAACTAGTGATAAACGTAAAGTTCACACATTCGCGTTACCACCGGCTTTGCAATTGTGTTGAAGAACACAACCAGCTTAGGAAGTTTCGCTTGTGTCAGGCCACCGCCATGTCTGGTATACCAAGGTGGCAGACGCTAGTGATAGTGTCATATTACTCCGGCATGAGATAACTGTAAAAAAATGTCTTTCGTGCGATAAGCGCGATGCGCCATGTCCATTATTATTATTATACAGTCGACTGCGGATATAACGACAATTCGCGAATAACGACAGAGTTTCCATGCCCAGAGCAAAGTCCATTCCACCTGTATACATTATTATTATAATGAGACTTCGGCCCGGGTACGTGTATAAGGACACTTCACGAATAAGGACACTTTTCTCATGCCCCGCGAGTGTCGTTATACTGTATACGCAAAGTAACACAGTAGTTGACTGTACATGTGCATATGGTACATGAGCCATGACAGTACACAAGGAGGTACGTGCAGACTCAGTCATCATGGTCATAATAATATTTACTGCATACAAAATTAATGTATGCATGCCACTGCCAGGACCGCCCAGGTCATGTACTGTACAGTGTACTACTATACTGAGTACTGTCTTTGTCAGTTTGTGATGTAGTGCTAGTGTTGTTCTTTTTAAAAATTAATTTCTAAAAAATTCAGCCGACTCAGTGCATGCAGTCTACGGAGTACTGTACTGTCTACAACTGTAGGAGACTCTACTACTCCGTAGTACTCGATCTAGTCTACAAGTACAAAGTAACTGTTAGTTACTTACAAGTAACTAGTTAGCCTCTACTGTACTGCTCAACCACCGGTGCACCTAGCTTTACGTCACCAAACATTTTTTCACAAAAGATGGCTTGTGCAAGCATACATAGCCATAATTATGCATGCACCAAGTCAGTTCTTGCCTTTGGTTTTGGCGTTGGGCCCGGTGGGAGGCGGTATGCTCTGACTCCGGCTTGGAGCGGGGTGACGAAGGAAGCCTTTAGTCTTCGCTGTCAACCTCCTCGGCCTAGTTCAGAATGAGCTATTACAGGACGCCCGGTGCTAGCGGAGGTCGCCGATTCGATACGTACGTAATTTCAGGACAATTTCCTGTATTATTTTATCGGACTGTTCAGTTTTGTGCTTTCCCTCACTGAAATACTGTAGTGAACAGCAAGCTACGTTCACTAGATATGGGGCGGTACAGGCATAGCCGTTCCGGCTCTACCGAGGGGCAGTTTGGGAACACCCAAGACGATTTAAGTTTGTTTCAACCAAACGTTTGTGACTCTTTGTGAATTGTGCAACAGACTAAACAATCCTCAAAAATAACTGTATGGCATCTACAAAGTACGATCATAGTACGGATGCAAGGCTGCAAGCTCACACGCGGTCATGCGCTCACACAAAAATCGATAATCGTGGCTTCGGAATTTTGTTGTAATCCAGGCACTTTTGTTGAACCGTCAAGTGTATACGAGTCGTGCAATCCACAATCTATTTGGAATCGATTGAGGTCATAGATATACATGAGAAGATAATTTTAAGAATACTATCAGTGTAGAACTGAAATTCTGCCTGTGCATGGGGCCTGACATCTTCACTAGAATCACTGCCTACTTTCATGCTATGCTGAGGCTGGCAGTACTGAGCCCTGTTGTGATAAGGAATGAGCAGTTGTGGGGTTCCATGATGTTACAAACAACAAATCACGACATGCCTAGGTTGCTGCTGCGTAAACACTGGCGTGTTGCAAAAAAACAGAACTGGTTCAGATGTGCAGCGCTATGGGCATGGGTGCGTCCACCCGAATTCCTTTGACAGATGAAGCTGCAGGAAGCCTCAGCCCTTCTTCAGATGTTGCAAAACGTTAGTACATGTCACGCAGTAACCTAGGAAGATGTTTTGGTTGAGCCGGGGGGGGGGGGGGGGGGGGCTTACTTTCAGGGACTGAATTGCTCGTATACTGGTGTACGATCATGTTGTACGTGAACCGGTATACCGGTGATCCTTCTACGGGGAGCTGTATTTGTTTATAACTTTACTGTACTTCACTCTACGTCATCATCGGATGTACATGTACGTGCACATGGACATTAACGGAGCAATCGTGAAGCCCGAGTACAGTACTCGAATCTGGACAGGAATAATGAAAGTGCTGTGGATGCATGTTGAACATGCAGAGAGATCGCATGCAGCTGAACCGCAGGACAAGCAGATCTGACTGACAGCCCAACGTCCAAAGTACCATCCAATCTTCACTCTCCGAGGGCCGAGAACTACTGCCTTGAAGATTTCTGCTGGAAAGTGATCTTCTCTGGAATGCTGCACCATATCTGTGGCACAGCAGTGAGAAGAACTGACTCTGACTAAAGAAAAGTACTCCTGCCTTTCAGATTTCGAAGGAAACTGCCCCCCCCCCCCCCAAAAAAGCTTCATCAGCAGCTACGAGCAAGAGACAGTCGGAGAGTACATAACCCGGGGGCTACTGATGTACTTTTGCTACGAGGAAAAAGCGACCCAGCGGTGATCTAAGTGACTGTGTTTCACGCAGGTGGTACGCGCATTTCTTGTAGATCTCATAGAGTCGACACTGCGTGGCCTGTACTCGTCTGACTGAATCCGGCACTGTATTCCATACCGGATCAGCTCTGACTACAATCGATCTGAGTGTATGTACTGGCTGGGCTGTGTGCATATATGCACTGGCTGGTCTCAGTGCTCCTCACTTGCGCTTGCACACATAACATGTTCATCGACTTTCAGCCCTACATCCGCCAACAGGTATTTGCCCCCTTCCAATCCTACGCCACTGTTGTGTGGGGATGTATCTACGTCGTGTCAAGAGTTATACTTTTGTATAGAGTGAGTAATCACACCTGTTTGACTCCTTGCCATGCTGTTGGCGTGTTGCGTGTTGTGTGTTTGCTCTCCTTTTTGTCTCCAGAAAGAAGAAACTTGCAATTTGGACGTCGTTGGAAATAATGCGGCTGTGCGATGACCTCAGGGAATGCTTCAATGGTGAGCAGATGCGCCTGATGAGTGATGTTCTTCTCCGTCCCTTTCTCAAGCACGGTGGAAATGCGAGCAATCTCGTGGAGGCTCGTATTGATCGGACAAGGCAATTGACCGATGAGCTATACCTGAACCATCTGATTCGTTTATGGATCGCCAAGGATGGGCATGCTACGTGCAAGAAGCTATATGATGCAATGGTGATCATCTTCCCCGAAGACGAGGTCAAGCAGTACCGGCGTCTTCTTGGCGTGGACACAGACTGATTCCCACTGCTGTTTAAGCTCACTACCCAGAGCTGTTGCCAGGATATTTCTTACAGAGTCTCCGAGGACTAAGCCATGTCCGGGGCCTGCTCTCCAGTGCCCGCTTATGCAGGACTGCACCTGCACCTTGTATACTTTACCTCAAAGTGCTTTCATCGGATACAAACCGAGCCTGAGACTACGTAACTTCAGACCGTGTTCTCTTGCGCCTTACTTACCGGCATGTACTGACAATATTTCTGGGCTTGATATCTTGTTTCAATTTAGGACTGACACCTTGACTTGCATCAAATGCATTGTTGATATATTATCTGTGATATTTATCTAGTCATGTGTGGCGAGAATTGCAAGCTGTTGTATATATTTTTAAGCGCTGGGACTGTCTTGATGAAGTGTGAGGCTAGACTAGTATAAGACTTAATGCCTGTAGTTGTGAACTGAATAGTGTCGAGTTGACTGCACAGCCCAGTGTTTGCTATGCAAGTGCCGTGCAGCGCTGGGCTTGGTCTAGTGACCATGGTGACGGCTTGGATAATCTCGACCCGTGTGTGTGTGGGGGGGGGGGGGGGGTTGAGCTGTCCAATGAACTGTACGTGTTTTCCAGTTTGATGTGGTTCTTCAGGAGCACATGTCTTTTTTTAAATACCAGGCCTTTCTGTGCCCTTCAGCAGAGCATGGTTCATAAGCCTATGCAAGTATTGTGTTGTCATCGGCAGGAAAGGCTATGGCTCCTTTATTACTATTATTACTATTATGATTTTCATTTGCCTCTCTGCATTTGAGTCAGGTATGGTATTACGAAACGCCAACAATTTACTATTCCACCCCTACCTTTTGCCCAGGTCGCTCACCAAGCCAGGGGAGAATAAAGTCTGGACCGTCAAAGCGAGGGAAGGGGGGGGGGGGGGAGATCACCTGACTGGTGTCTGGACATCCGATACAATCGCGTGTAATGAATCTTCGCTGTAATATAGCTAATAACTGGAGAGAATATCTTCTCTGGTTCATTCCTTTCTGCAGTTATACATTGATATTTGGCTACTACAGTAAGATCGGGCGCCGAAGAACGCAGGGGCTCGAGCGCAGCCTAGGAAAGTTCTTAAATTTTTGATTCTAGCCAGACCGTTCTTATTCCCACACGTGCGGCGAGTCGAGTGACGTCATGACGTTTGTCATGTACATGTACATGTACATGTACATGTAGTGCAATGTAGTACTTCTAAACTAGTGGGTGTCGTAAATAGGAGTGACTGTACATGTAGCAGTTACTGTTTACACGTGTACATGACATGTAGAGGGGACGGTTTCAAATAGGACACCGGTTGCAAACCGGAACGGACTCAATATTCACTTTCTCTCTTGGTATTTTGATTAGAAAACATATGTCACAGTGAGACTACTATGTGTTATACTCCGAGCCAAAATTTCATGGCTCTGCGATGACCAGAAGCGCCATATCAAGCAGGTGAGTTTTTGACGTGTTGCTTCGCACTGCGACTTGAGTTTTACGACTTTCGAAAAATCAACTTCTTGTCGCAGGTAAACAGCGGCTCGCCTCTCGCCAATAAAGCACCGCATACCAATCAAAACTAATGGAAGCACACACAAGGCTTATTGTTACTCTATACTGGCCGTCGTGGAGCGATAGCAATTACCTAATTTCAGACCCAGAGTGAATTTGACGTGCACTCTAAAACGTGTCCGGTTTGGAGCCACCTCTGATTTGAACTTTTTTGAAGCGAAAAATTGGGCAACTTGGAGGCAATGGGTCAACACAAAGGAGTGGCTCAGTTCGATCGACTCTGGCCCCAGAGCAAACTTCAACATGCCAGTTTCCTTCCACAAACATATTTCGAGTGAAAAATCAACGCCGATGATCGGTTTGGGTCTATACAAATTTGGCTGTCAAAACGTCCCGGTATCGAGCCGTCTCCTCTACTCACCTCCCATACATGTACAATGTATACAATTTTTAAAAGTGTTCTTAAATCTGATAATTCTAGCCTGGACTGTTCTTAAATTTTGCCGGTTTTCCAGCCTGGGTGTTCTTCGGCGAGGTGTTCTTCGGCGCCCGATCTTACTGTAGTACTCGTTCCCCTTTACCACGTCACTTTCTTACTCCTCCCCGCCACACTCCCCCATGCTTTCTCGCCGCAAGTATATACATGTTGTTGGTTTGACAGCATGAAACAAGGTGGAGGACACTGTGTTTGATTATCTAGTAACATGTGACACTCCCATGATAAGCATGTGTAGTGTCTGCCAGCTTGCTCGTGTCTGAAGCACTTTGGACTTATACCAGAAAGTGTAACAGGCTGACAGCACTAGCCGGAGGAACTTGCAAGCTCTGAGGCTTCACAACTCTTTACTCTCGAAATCAATTCCACACAGAACTGAGAAGAATCAGCGGGTTATATAGGCCAGGGAGAGAGAGCAGCTGGGAGTGAGGGCAAAAGAAAGCAGGAGGACAGCAGGACAAGAGACAGTGTGGGAGGAAGAATGGACCTAAGTGGCGAGCAAGGTTTATGCAACAGGAATGCAATCTAAAAGTATGGAGGAAACGAATGTGAATGGCAGGCAGGGTAATGGGGCATAAAGATTACTAGGAAGACAACTGTTGGAAGATCTAAGGAAAAGGCATTTGAATGTGTGTGAGCTAGGGCTGATCAATAACATGGGTTCGGGGAAGAAACCTGTAACCTGTTGGATGCATACATGTAGAACCGGGAAGGTATCTCGCAAGTGATCAAAAGGGTCAGTGAGGGGGAACAGACTACACAGGAATCAATGTAATGTATATTTACAGCATGAATGCAATAGGTCAAGCCGTACCGGTCTGCAAGCAGGGTTGTCTAGTAGTCCTACTTCAAAGTAAGTGGTTGCTGGGAGAAGCACTTAGCATGTACTAGTACATGTAAACTCCAAGTAGCTAGTAATACCAGGAGGTTGTGTGATGACTGTTCAGTGATACTGATAGAGCTAGAGATACTACACGTGCACATCAAAACGTACATAGAAGGTACAGATTATAGTTTTTGTAGTCACCGGCCCGTAATACCCTATGGCTATGGGCAGTGCCTGGCATGGTTCCGGACGTGTATGGTTTTTTTACCATGGTGGGGGGGGGGGGGGGTGACGCCCAGGCCTGCGCTAGCGCTAGGATAGGCTGCATGCTGCACCATGCCGGCATGGGCCGATGATCATCACGATCATGCAGCCTAACCTAGCCCAGGCATGGCATACCATAGTATACCATGTATACTATGCCTGGGTCCCGGGCGGCGGGGGGCGGGGCTTGCACTGAGCTGGAGTCGACTTGATCTTGAGTCGAGAACGGTTGAGTTGAGTCGGCACTAGTACTAGTACTACTACTACTAGTGTGATAACTCCGGCGCTCGGACAGCGTTCCGGTTAGTCTCGCCCATGGCTGTGTCGTCTCTAACCCTTGGAACGTTTTGTGACAAGTATAGTCACGGCTGGCATAACGCAACTTCACCCAGTCCTAACCCAACACACACATAACCAACTGATCTCGTCAGAGCAGAGAATATGATCCTGTTTGGAAGAAGAGCACCGAAAGAACCTCTCGCTAAAAGCAACAGCATGCTATGATATAACACATTGTAGAAAACAGCAAGCAGCGGCAGTAGCGATAGTACTTGCTAAACATGCAGCTAAACTGCTACTTTGTGACTTTGTCCGCTGCACGGAACGGCGATCGGACACGCACACGCACACACATACACGCACAGGTCTGCGTGATCTAGAAGCGGCTGTCATCATAAGATACGCAAAGTGTGAAAGGGTATTAGAACGGGGCAAGCCTAGACCCGGCGTCTGGACCGCAACATGTACTTGATTAAAAGCATAGCCAGTCAATGGTCAAGCAGGTGCAATCACGCACATCCACACCTAGCGTACTACAGTCGTCCCTCTCTAATCCGGCAATTTATAATCCAGCACCCTCGATAAACCAGCACAATTTTCAGTAGCCAAAATGTCCTCTTCATGCACATTGCAGCAGTAAATCAGATTTGTTAATCCAGCACCCTCCCTAATCCAGCAGATTTTCGTGGCACAAATGGTGCCGGATTATAGAGGGACCACTGTACTACTATAAAGCGAATTCATAACTACAGGTATTGCACTTTCTCCTGCAAATACACAGTCGTGCGCTTCATCTATTGACAGCAGCCAAACCTATCATTTTACAGTCTCACTGGGTAGGTGACCTCGCCGGCACACACCGTATAGTATATTGTACAATAACTGTTCCAACTACGGTCCGGAAGACGCACAGTAGCTATCAGCAGTAAGTTAAAAGTTACAAGCCCTCACTCTCGGGCTATGACACTAGTACTAGTACAAGTCTAGGGTACTGTAAAAGCCATAATAATTATAACGAAGTGCTAACTGGAGAAATCTGTCGTTATACAGAAATCGATACAATCGTCATAATATATACTGTCCTATTGAGCGTTGAGAATGAGTGAGAATCGTTACCTTCGGTACTCGTAAACTAGTCGGGGACGGGGGAATCGTTATACATGTATGCCGCTATGCGCCTCGTTATGGCTTTTACAGTCATGACAATGTCATGTCGACAGTAGTCTACATGACACTGCACTTTGTAGTTCTGCAGACTGACATTGTAGTGTACATGTATACAGTCGAGTCATGCACAGATGCACTCACTGACTCGGCTGAGGGGATCAGTCAAGGAAGACGCGGTCCCTGCCGGCATACCATGCCATGCGCGATATGCCACGCCATTTCAAGTCCAGGATGACTCTACATCGACTGCCGCGCCGGGCTGGAGCCAGTTAGCGAAGTAGTTAGTTGACTGTACACATGTGTACAGTCATGTACTAATAGTAGATAAACAAGAGTGTGCAACTCCGGATCTCTCCTGCACAATCTGCAGATACCCCCGCCACGGCGGAATTTTTTGTTGACGTCACCTTTTTTTAGAAGAACGCGCATTTTGCTGCAGTGTGGGAGCACGTGCTGGGCACCGACTTTGTAGTGCAAATGCGGCCAAGTGCACGAGGGAAAACTAACCGTTTACTGTTACTTTCCAAAAGACTCATACTCAGAGTCATAGTCATAGCGCGTGCGTCGTCGAAAAGATTACGTCAACAAAAAATTCCGCCGTTGGCCAACCCATCCGCGAGTTGCACACTCTAGTCTAGTCTTGTTTATCTACTCTTGCTATTACTAGTAATAGTAATAGTAATACCAGGGAGTCGTATACCCTGGGTCTCTATACGACTCCCTGGTAGTGGTAATCATGGTAATACCATGATTACTAGTACTAGTATACCATGGTATACTACTGTTGCGGACATGGAAATCCAGTCCATTGACCGGGGCCGGCGCCCTCAGCGCGTATACAGAACGCTGCGTGCAGTGCACTTGCTGATCCGATACGCGCTGCAGCGCATAAGTGCATGTACATGTGTGTACCGCTTATCTACGGCTGCATGGCCAGCGCCCTGGGGCCGCTAGACGTGCGACCGGATTTCCATGTCCACGACAGTACTATTACTATTAGTATTAGTACTATAGTAGTTGTACATCATTACAATGTAGGCAGTGCCAGTATTCATGGCATGCATTGATGGCCTATGGCTATGGCCAGTATGGGTCTTCTTCCCCGGGACTCTCATGTGTCAGCTTTCGTTCTTCGGGATTTCCCGCCGAGGCCAGTGCAGGGTGCATGCAGTACTCAACACTACAAAATTAATGTACAATACAACAGTAGATCTACCGGTAACGGAAAACATCTACAAACGCAAAGTACCATTATAATACAATCATGTACAATACTGTGCTGAGAAAAAATCTGAGTTTTCGGTTTTTTACGAGTAGTAATGACTTGGTGCCCATTGGCATTACTCTCGATCTCCTCATCAGCCCACCACAGTTAACTAGTTGCTGGAAGTTGAACTCTTTCTACAAATAATTGATTCCACGGCTCTCTCCCAATGGCAGAGATCGACGGAATTGAAGCCGGGCGGCGCTTGAAGAGACATCATGACGCCCTTCTAGCGGACATGAATCCCATCAAGGTGATGGACCATTTGATGACTCCAGACCTTCTGAAAGACGAAGTCGTGCAGAATGTCAGTGCAGCGACGAGAGAGCACGGTCAGATCGAGGGGTCGAGGAGGCTTCTCGAATACTTGCGCCCGCTCGTCAGACACCAACCGAGAGCGCTGGACGAAATAATCGCGGCGCTCCGAAGGGCAAGCACGGAGCACTTGGCAGACCTGCTGGCGCAGCCTCTCTCCCCGATCCGCCCAGGTAATGTTAGTATTGTTACCACTTACACTGGTGAGGACTGGGGGTATGAGCAAGAGGAGACAGTGAGTCACTGTTGCTACTACATGTACCCGGCCCTCCCGGCAAGTTGAAGTAGGAGAACAGCTATCAACCAAGGCGTTACCGCCTGTTTGTGCTGTTACTATAAATAATAAAAATTATAAAATACAACAGCAACAGCAACAACAACTTTTTTTAGATGCTCAACCCAAATACTAGAAGACCAGCATGCAAGAGGCTGATTTATGATGTTGCATTTGATTGCATGGTTTGTGGGGAAACAGGCTAGCATGAAGAGTCATGACTGAGCCAGACTGGAAATCGCTGGGAAATCCGGAATCATGGGGCTGACCCGAATAGGCGGTACAAATTATTTGGGCAGAGGCGTGAAGATGGAATTTTACTTTTCGGGTGGTAATACTCGAATGAGGAACATGATGACAGGAGGGAGCTCCCCTCCTGTCATTCGTTCGAGTGTTCAAATACATTAATAAAAATACGTGTGCGGTAACTACGTGACTGCTGTGAGTGCGCTTAGCCGGATTGTGTTGTATTCTTTTATTTCGTTCGGTGCACCGGCAATACTGCCTTCTCACTGGAAAGACGATTTTCTGATACGTACCAAATTGATAAAACAATTCACGTATATGTCGATCCAGCTTGTATTACTGATTGCGGTTATCAAATTCACGTATAATTATGATTGTATGAGAATAACATTATTATGAGTGGTTTTGATACTCTACATGGTGACGTGTATCGTGACACAAACTTTTAAAACATTTCACTGAAACAGTGAGTGTCAAGTTCGGCAGGGCTAGGAGGCGTAAGCTCCACATGTACAGTCAACTTCGCTAATAACGACTTCGGATATAACGACAATTCGCGAATAACGACAGCATTTCCATGCCCAGAGCAAAGTCCCTTCCAACTGTAATACATATAATGAGACTTTGGGTACAACGACACTTCGCGAATAAGGACACTTTTTTGATGCCCCGCCGAGTGTCGTTATAAGCGAAGTTGACTGTAACAGTTATTTTTAAGAGCATGGACTACATGTGATTTCAAGGTTTGTTGGCATGATGGCGTGCATCACCTACTAGTATCTTCCACAGAATCCAGCTTCCAACTCTCTTGGTTCAAATTTACAACAGCATACATCTTACCATCTATGGTAACATGTACTTCCAGGTTCAGGGCTACAATGAAGGGTGGTGAATAATTTCCTCGTAGAACAGTTTCCATTGCAAGGTTGGTTTCACAAAGAGTGCTGCTTGGTGCTAAGTACAGCCGTGACCGTAAAGAAATCCACCCGCGGGTCAAAAGCAGCGCGGCGTTTCGATATCAATTACACCGTGCACGCTCCAAACACACATCCGAGGGCCGCATGAGCCTTGGCGCTGCTTTCGGCTCACGGGTCGAAATTCTTTGGCCACAACTCTACTCTTCAGTGAAATCTAACACGGCTGGATTGCAGTAAAATGGTAAGTTAGTCGTAGTGGGAAAGAAGACCAGCTTGTGTTGTTGTGTTCTATTTAAAATCAGAGCTGGAGCTAGGAAAGGAAGCTGCACTCGAGGAGATGAATAGAGGCAATGGCAACGCCGACATGCAAGTGGCACGACAGGGAAGTTCTCTCAAGCGTCGATCCGATGACTGGAGCACGGGTAAGAAGTGTGAGGACATTGCACTAGTATTGTGTCCTTTGAGGCTGTGAGGCACACTGAGAACTGGTCATCTTGGATGTAGATGCGTGCATAATACTATTTCAATTTTTGCATTGCCCCATTGTGTGGGAATACAGTACTTGGTATCAATGTGTGGAAATGCAGTGCCTGGTCTCAATATGTGTAAATGTAGTGCCTGACCCTAGTCCGCTGCCCAGGCAAGGGTAGGTCCACTGCATGTTTACTTTGGGTATTCTGTCAGTGGTTGACTCCATTCAAACGTACCTTGTTGAATGTGGGTTTCTACCTTCTTTTTTTCCTACTGTGTACCAGCGTCATCTCCGAAGAGAGCGATCAGGGAAGAGTCCCAAACAGATGGTGAGCAATGTTCTTGTTCCTTGCAATATCATACCCGATCTCTCCTTTGGGCAGTTAAGGACTGCAGTATTCAGCGCGTGTGCAAAATCCTCAAATGCTCAGCTCATGAAGCAACATACTAAGTATTACCATACCAATATGAATGAGGGAGGTGCTTAGCTTAGGCTGTCATCACACTATGGTGCAAAGTGCTGCGTCTATTTCCACGTAAGGAAGTTTTGGTCGGTTGCCATAATGATCCGTGTGTCTGTACTGGATGAAAGCGGGAGCAGATTAAACGGGAAACGTAGATGTGGCCAGGGGTGGGGTATACAACTTTTCTGAAGAACGTGCGTATCTCCCCCAGTCTCTTTCTAAGCGACCTTGTACGTGCCTTGGAATTTCTCCGAAACGTGACCGCGTGTACGGGTCAAGAACTGTGCCTGTGCGATGACACGACCACCCGTTTTGTAATTTTCACCGCGGACGTGGACATCCCTTTGACAAATGCCAGCAACCTAGAAGGAGCCCGAGCATTTGCTGCAGACAAGTCGAAATGGATATTGTTTATGGATGAGTTTTTGTTGACTGGAGACAGAAGCGGACTTGGAGGAGACGGGACCTGATTGCTCCAGGGCAGGACGTCGTTGAGGAGGATTCGACCAGTGAGTCCAGTGAGTCCGGTGAGTGTGAGAGCGAGAATGATTGTGTGAGTAAGAGTGGGTGCGAGCGTGTGTTTTCTAGTAGGAAGTCATCAGTGTATAAGCATCTTGTATCTCGTCCTGATTGCTGCAAGGTGTATTCTGATTTTTCTTTTTCTGTTTTGTGCAGTGCTCGTCATGGTTATAAGTTGCAGTTGAGTGTGTTAGAAGCTGTTTGTCAACGTATTCATAAGCCTAACCTGTGTGTCCAGAAGGACAGCATTATTCGTTTGAAATTGTTCTAGTAGCAGCTTGTTCTGTTTGTTTGGCCCTGGTTGGCCATGGTGTCATATCTTGTGTCACAGTATACTAGTAGTCTTTACAAGTTCGTTAAGTGCTTTCGCAGTTTTTCCTGTTATTACCTTAGTGCTAGGATTATCATTTTCATAGGTGTTGTTTCTTCTCACTCCATTTCTCTTTATTAGTATCTTTCTGGATTGTTTTTCAATATTATTATTATTATTATGATTGTGAGTCAGTCAAGTGTCAAGTAAAGTCGGCGGAATAGCGCGAGCTCCGGTGTGGGGAGCAAACCCTTTCTTACAAATTATCGCCGAAGTCGCAACCACTACTTCGTACTGTTGTGCCCAGCGCGGGCTTGCGACTAGTTGGTTTGGAGGTGACAGCGTTGCGAATGACCGAGGGTCCTCGACGTCTGTCTCACCGTCCAGGAGCGACACTGACTCACGCTGCTATCTGGTGTTCACGAGGTGTTTGTCGCGCTGAAAACGGAGCGTCTCTGTAAGTTTGTATCCCTGGTGATGTTTGTGCCTGGAGAGCACTATATAAGTGGTGCTCTTCAGGCACAATCTTCCTCAGCCTACTCAAGCTCAACTGATGAGGGGTGAATTCCCCGAAACACTGTGTATTGAGCAGGGAGTGGTGCTTTCTTGCAGGTTTGCCGAGTCGAAGGTTCGATGGACATCTCGTGTGCTCTGGATGGCAGTCGTGAGTCAGTCAAGTGTCAAGTAAAGTCGGCGGAATAGCGCGAGCTCCGGTGTGGGGAGCAAACCCTTTCTTATTATTATTATTATTATTATTATTATTATTATTATTATTATTATTATTATTATTATTATTATCTCTCCTTTATTCACTTCTTTCGAAGGCGATAAGCCAGACCCACCGGGAAATATTTCCATGGGTGGGACAGCAAAAAGAAAGTGAAAAAAAATGAATAAATAAATAAAACCTAAAAACCAAAGGACAAGAAATAGTTGAAGGAAGAGGAAGAAAGGAAAGAAACTCAATCCGAACTCCAACATCAAAACAATAATACAGAATTTGCAGCGACAGGCAAAATACATCAACCAATGAAGGGAGTAACAAAGGAAATATCAGTCTTTATCAGTCGTTATTCAAGTCTCTTAGCTATTGAACATGCAAACGCAGCAGAGGTGCATCTACATGTTAAGGATAGTTCTTAGTATTTTAAAGGGGAAGTTAAGGCAAAAATTAAAATTTCACCAGTTGTAGTCTTCGGGGTGCTGAGTCGAATGGTCGTGGTCCGAGGAAGCTGAGACGCTCCCTTCCTACTTGAATCCCAATCGAACTCGCGCACTTCCACCGAAACTGGGTGACTGCGCCCTACTAGATGGGGATTTGTATGCAAAATGTCACTAAAAGCGCCATTTCGTTCTTATAAAAGCACGGATGACCGCGATTGGCCCATATGTTGTAGTCTTTTGGACGCTGAGTCGACTGGTTTTGGTCCGAAAAGGCTGAGATGCGGCGTTCCTCCTTTATTCCCAATCGAACATGGTTGAAGAAGCGGTCACTTGCTCCTGCGTACACCAGTCACCTGGTCACCGTGCCTGCAGGGTACAACTTACTAGCCTGTTTGACCTTTTTTGGGTGCAGTCCTGTCACTCGAGTTAAACTCGAGTTGAACCTTGGTGTGAAAGTTGTCACCTGCTGGCGTGGTGACCAGGTGATTTGGGCACCCAGGACCACGTGACCGCTTCTTCAACCATGTTCGATTGGGAATAAAGGAGGAACGCTGCATCGCAGCCTTTTCGGACCAAAACCAGTCGACTCAGCGTCCAAAAGACTACAACATATGGGCCAATCGCGGTCATCCGTGCTTTTATAAGAACGAAATGGCGCTTTTAGTGACATTTTGCATACAAATCCCCATCTCGTAGGGCGCAGTCACCCAGTTTCGGTGGAAGTGCGCGAGTTCGATTGGGATTCAAGTAGGAAGGGAGCGTCTCAGCTTCCTCGGACCAAGACCATTCGACTCAGCACCCCGAAGACTACAACTGGTGAAATTTTAATTTTTGCCTTAACTTCCCCTTTAATCGAACCTTGTATAGCCTCCTGTTGCACACTAGCCAGGTCTCCTCCCTGCACAGTCCGAAGGCATTGAGGAGTCTCCCCCACCAAGCCTCCCAGGGCACCGACAACCACAGGGACCACGTCAACCTGGGTGAGGGACCATATCCTCGAAATCTCCCGCTTCAAATCATAATATTTCGAGCGCTTTTCAGCCATTTTCTTATTGATGTTGTTCTCACCAGGAACGCTGATGTCTATAATGTAGGCGATGCGCTCCTTGTCATCAACAAGGAGCAGATCGGGCCTGTTTGCTGATAGTTTCAGGTCAGTTGGGACCGAATACTCCCAATAGAGGCGATACCGATCACTTTTGACCAATGCCTTGAGCTGGTGGTCGAATCGTGAAGCACCAGTAGGTAGATCTCGTGCTCTACACATTTCGAAGTGCACATACTTTACTAACCGGTTATGACGTTCGATGTAACTGGTCCGAGCAAGAACTGGGCAGGCACTGACAATGTGGTCAATTGTTTCTAAGCTGCCCTTGCAAAGCCTGCAGTTGGCATCAGTTCGAGCAATTGACTTCATTATGGCGTATTGGTAATTTTTCGTTTTGAGGGATTGGTCTTATGCTGCCATAATCATGCCTTCAGTTGAAGGTTTCAGTGTCCTTGATTTCAACCACATGAAGGTAAGCTCCTTATCTAGGTGATTCTCCTCCAATCGGCTCCAATATCTCCCATGCAGCGGCATAGTGGAAAGTGTTTTGGATTTTCGCTCAGCGCACGCTTGTTTAATGGTATGCTTATTGGGTAAAGCTGGTCCAGCTGCTGGCAGATCCAAACTCGACAGGAACTTAGCGGCTTATTATTATTATGAAGTAGTGGTTGCGACTTCGGCGATGATTTGTAAGAAAGGGTTTGCTCCCCACACCGGAGCTCGAGCTATTCCGCCGACTTTACTTGACACTTGACTGACTCACGACTGCCATCCAGAGCACACGAGAAGTCCATCGAACCTTCGACTCGGCAAACCTATTATTATTATTATTATTATTATTATTATTATTATTATTATTATTATTATTATTATTATTATTATTATTATTATTATTATTATTATTATTATTATTATTATTATTATTATTATTATTTTAATAACGAAGGTACGTGTTAGGTCGTAAGTATCCACGCAAACACACATCCAGTCAAAATAAGGCACTTGTCAAAGTATCCGAACGTTTTCGGTCCCTTCTCATCAAGGATTATACAGGGAATGGCTCAAGTTGAAAAGACTAAAACTTATATAGCGTAAAGATATGAGATAACAACACTCGTGACAAGGTGAAAAAAGTATCAAGTTCAGCACGACACAAAACTCGAAGGACATAATAATAGCGACAAGAACATAGTGAGCAAATTAAGTTACATTGTTAACACCTCGACGAGGAGTAACACCAAACAATTGTAGCGACAACACATTTTCTTTTTGTACGCAAAGTTCAGGATCTAACTTACGGATATACAAAGCTTCTAACACAGCCAGATGCAACGCACATCTACCACGTGACAATATTGAGAACACATTATCACTGTACAACTCACGACAATTGGTACGGGCTGACAGATGTTGCTTGATGGACGAAGTGCGATCCCTAGCTCCGTTGGGTGTAGTCTCCTCCAATGTCCCGTCATCTCGCCTCTTCGCGGCATCACCACTATCCGTCTCTTTGCTTTTCCGCGGCCTTCCACGTTTTCTGACACTAGCCGTTGTGTGCGCGATGCCCAGTGTCCTTTCAGCTACGTCTCCTCCATTGCGGATTTCTATTGATCTTCTTACTCCAACTTGTCCGGTGTTCGATATTGAGGTTCGTTTTCGCGGTCTACCACGTTTTCGAATATTGACTGTTGTTGTCACTTCCGTTGTCGTTGTACGTGCGTCCTCACCAGTCCGTATTTTTACTTGGCTTCGCGTAACCCTTCCCGACGCAGACAGATCCTTTGTCAATTTCGGTGGTTTACGTGTCGGTCTTTCACCATCTTTCACGCTGTTCTCAGCTGGACCCTGCGCTATACACGCGGAGGAGGACGGGCATGCAGTGACATCTTCACAGGAAGAGGAAGATCCACCGATGGACTGGACAGCACATTTTGGAGGACGACCACGGCGAGGACGACACTCACGCGCATCAAGCGGAACAAAACTTAACGGCACATGTTGACGAATGCGCGCGCCCAGGTGCTGAAGGGTTCTACCTACATACCGATCTTCACATTGTCGGCATTGAAAGAAATAGATAAGGTTACTTTTACTAAGGGTAGGTAGAACATCCTTCTTCACACTGAACGCACGCACTGTCCCAAATACGACTCGGCAAACCTATTATTATTATTATTATTATTATTATTATTATTATTATTATTATTATTATTATTATTATTATTATTATTATTATTATTATTATTATTATTATTATTATTATTATTATTATTATTATTATTATTATTATTATTTTAATAACGAAGGTACGTGTTAGGTCGTAAGTATCCACGCAAACACACATCCAGTCAAAATAAGGCACTTGTCAAAGTATCCGAACGTTTTCGGTCCCTTCTCATCAAGGATTATACAGGGAATGGCTCAAGTTGAAAAGACTAAAACTTATATAGCGTAAAGATATGAGATAACAACACTCGTGACAAGGTGAAAAAAGTATCAAGTTCAGCACGACACAAAACTCGAAGGACATAATAATAGCGACAAGAACATAGTGAGCAAATTAAGTTACATTGTTAACACCTCGACGAGGAGTAACACCAAACAATTGTAGCGACAACACATTTTCTTTTTGTACGCAAAGTTCAGGATCTAACTTACGGATATACAAAGCTTCTAACACAGCCAGATGCAACGCACATCTACCACGTGACAATATTGAGAACACATTATCACTGTACAACTCACGACAATTGGTACGGGCTGACAGATGTTGCTTGATGGACGAAGTGCGATCCCTAGCTCCGTTGGGTGTAGTCTCCTCCAATGTCCCGTCATCTCGCCTCTTCGCGGCATCACCACTATCCGTCTCTTTGCTTTTCCGCGGCCTTCCACGTTTTCTGACACTAGCCGTTGTGTGCGCGATGCCCAGTGTCCTTTCAGCTACGTCTCCTCCATTGCGGATTTCTATTGATCTTCTTACTCCAACTTGTCCGGTGTTCGATATTGAGGTTCGTTTTCGCGGTCTACCACGTTTTCGAATATTGACTGTTGTTGTCACTTCCGTTGTCGTTGTACGTGCGTCCTCACCAGTCCGTATTTTTACTTGGCTTCGCGTAACCCTTCCCGACGCAGACAGATCCTTTGTCAATTTCGGTGGTTTACGTGTCGGTCTTTCACCATCTTTCACGCTGTTCTCAGCTGGACCCTGCGCTATACACGCGGAGGAGGACGGGCATGCAGTGACATCTTCACAGGAAGAGGAAGATCCACCGATGGACTGGACAGCACATTTTGGAGGACGACCACGGCGAGGACGACACTCACGCGCATCAAGCGGAACAAAACTTAACGGCACATGTTGACGAATGCGCGCGCCCAGGTGCTGAAGGGTTCTACCTACATACCGATCTTCACATTGTCGGCATTGAAAGAAATAGATAAGGTTACTTTTACTAAGGGTAGGTAGAACATCCTTCTTCACACTGAACGCACGCACTGTCCCAAAAACGTGGAAGGCCGCGGAAAAGCAAAGAGACGGATAGTGGTGATGCCGCGAAGAGGCGAGATGACGGGACATTGGAGGAGACTACACCCAACGGAGCTAGGGATCGCACTTCGTCCATCAAGCAACATCTGTCAGCCCGTACCAATTGTCGTGAGTTGTACAGTGATAATGTGTTCTCAATATTGTCACGTGGTAGATGTGCGTTGCATCTGGCTGTGTTAGAAGCTTTGTATATCCGTAAGTTAGATCCTGAACTTTGCGTACAAAAAGAAAATGTGTTGTCGCTACAATTGTTTGGTGTTACTCCTCGTCGAGGTGTTAACAATGTAACTTAATTTGCTCACTATGTTCTTGTCGCTATTATTATGTCCTTCGAGTTTTGTGTCGTGCTGAACTTGATACTTTTTTCACCTTGTCACGAGTGTTGTTATCTCATATCTTTACGCTATATAAGTTTTAGTCTTTGTTTTAGTCTTTTCAACTTGAGCCATTCCCTGTATAATCCTTGATGAGAAGGGACCGAAAACGTTCGGATACTTTGACAAGTGCCTTATTTTGACTGGATGTGTGTTTGCGTGGATACTTACGACCTAACACGTACCTTCGTTATTAAAGTATTATCCGCCTCCGACTTCTTGTAAAATTATTATTATTATTATTATTATTATTATTATTATTATTATTATTATTTTACAAGAAGTCGGAGGCGGATAATACTTTAATAACGAAGGTACGTGTTAGGTCGTAAGTATCCACGCAAACACACATCCAGTTAAAATAAGGCACTTGTCAAAGTATCCGAACGTTTTCGGTCCCTTCTCATCAAGGATTATACAGGGAATGGCTCAAGTTGAAAAGACTAAAACTTATATAGCGTAAAGATATGAGATAACAACACTCGTGACAAAGTGAAAAAAGTTTGGTGTTACTCCTCGTCGAGGTGTTAACAATGTAACTTAATTTGCTCACTATGTTCTTGTCGCTATTATTATGTCCTTCGAGTTTTGTGTCGTGCTGAACTTGATACTTTTTTCACTTTGTCACGAGTGTTGTTATCTCATATCTTTACGCTATATAAGTTTTAGTCTTTTCAACTTGAGCCATTCCCTGTATAATCCTTGATGAGAAGGGACCGAAAACGTTCGGATACTTTGACAAGTGCCTTATTTTAACTGGATGTGTGTTTGCGTGGATACTTACGACCTAACACGTACCTTCGTTATTAAATTATTATTATTATTATTATTATTATTATTATTATTATTATTATTATTATGTGAACATAAACGGGAGTCAGCGAACGTACTTGTGATGACGGCCTTTTACACACTTGCTGGTGTGCGTACGCACATACATGTCATTCCAATATCCACGAGGGAGGTGCTGAGGACAATGATGCCGGGATGCCACACAGGATGAAAGAAAGAGATGGAAAAGCATAGATAGGCGGCAGTGGGTGTTTTTGCCATCACTAGGAGCCATCAGAGACCCGTAACACTCTGTGTTCGTGTGTAACAAGGCAGGTACCGAAACAAGTACACCGTGTATCATACTGTATGTAACTCGCTGTGCCACTCACTGCCAGAACATTCTAAATCCTCATTCACAGTCTTCTTTCTTGTAATGAAAAAAAACCCAGAGGTGGTTGCCACCCATCAACAAAATGTCTTCCATGCATTGTTGGCATGTTGTTGCTGCAACCAGAATCAAACTTCGCACAGGAAACTCTGGATCCCACTAGTGGTAAGGTGAAAGATTATATATTTTAATTTAAAATGTGGCTAGGCAGTAACCTGAACTGCGGCTACACATGTGCGTGGTGCATGGCTCTCTCTCTCTCTCTCTCTCTCTCTCTCTCTCTCTCTCTCTCAGTCTCTCTCTCGCTCTCTCGCTCTCTCTCTCTCTCTCTCTCTCTCTCTCTCTCTCTCTCTCTCTCTCTCTCTCTCTCTCTCTCTCTCTCTCTCTCTCTCCCTTCCCACTCTGTCTGTCTGTCTGTCTGTCCGTCTCCCTTCCACTCTGCATGGCCTTCTATGGTTTTCTTTTATGGGTTTGTTTTTTCTCGGATGGATGGTACGTCTGTACATTATTTCCTATTTTGTTTGTACACAAAGGCACACAATGAAAACCTTGGGCAAATTCCGTTGTGACTCAGAGTTTCATGGCTGAACCAATCATCAGACAACGATAGTGGAATAGGAGACAGTGCTGGTATATCTAAGTTGAGAGAGGTGTGATAACCGCAACCGCATCTGCCTCTGAAAATAGCCTGTCCCTGCATACATTCCCGCGGTTACTCCTCCCGCTATCATAGTATTATTATCACACCTCTCTCAACTTAGATATACCAGCGCGGTCTCCTATTCCACTATCGTTGTCTGATGATTGGTTCTGCCATGAAACTCTGAGTCACAACGGAATTTGCCCAAGGTTTTCATTGTGTGCCTTTGTGTACGCCGCTCTGCCTGAATCAGGTATTGAGCACTTTCGCAGAACCTAAGCAAATACTGCCTCTGTATTTTGTTTGTACTTCATAATTCAGGGCAGCCTGGCGATGCCTCGTGTGGGGCTGACGACAGTCTTTGTGATGTGGGTGGTGATGATGCTCATGAAGAGCGTAACAATGATATTCAAACTAAAAGCATACGCACGCGCTGGACGAACCACAAGTGAGCTCCGCCGGAGGCGGTGGGGCCAGTCTCAATCCGTGTCATTCCGAGGGTCACTCAAAGTACAACGTCAGTGATAAATCTCCGCTCGATGAGCCCCCAAATGCCTCAGTCGAAGCGGTTGAAATGACAGCGACAGACTGGCGACTTGAGCAAATCTGCGAGCAATGCTCTGGCAAATGGCAGCAATTGGCCAGGAGCATACGGACAACGTATAATGGTAACACCGGATTCTTTGAACCGAGCAAAGTGGATGAAATTGCGAAGGACGGTGGTGGATGTAGGAACTGCTGTCGCAAAATGCTGGACCATTGGGTGACGAATGCGGAGGACAAGTCATCGAAAATCCTTAAGCAGGCAATGTACGATGCTGGATATAGACGGGCTGCTGACGACATTTTCGGAGTTTAAGGAATGAGTGGCGTTGAACTGTAAGCTTGTCACTGATACTCAGTCTTCCGGTTCAAGTGTTATCGATGTACAAAGAACTAACAAACAATCGAGTAATGCCAAGTGCATACTTCTGCTTGGTGATTTTCTTTTCTTCTTTTAATAATATTATGTACTTGTTAAATATATTTTACACGGAAACTTGACCTTCATGTATTTTGAATTTTCCTTCTTTACATGCGTATGTACTGCCAGTTAAAGTTTTTTTTCTTCTGCAGAAAACAATCATTAGCAGTAGAGAATTCCTGTAGGACGAGACCTCATGAATAAAACCATGGTGGTATTTGTATGGGTAGCTTGTAGGGTGTCTATGTTGCTCAGTGCGGATTTGAACTATTTTGCTTATGCTGTGTTTGCTTTGTTCATTTTGGTGTTTTTAGTCATTTCTACTTCTTTTGAAGTATATATACTAACATTATAGTATTTTAATAGGAAGCTACGATGAAATTGGTTATTGCATACATACAGATAGTTGTTCTAAGTACTTAGTACTTAGTGCAGTTGCAATCGAATTTATACCTGTGTAGTTTGCACGCGTACTTTCTGGCGAAATAAGAGTACAGTCACGACAGTGTACTGCCGCTTATGCGACAGCCAAATGTTTGTAGTGTGTGTGTGTGTGTGTGTGTGTGTGTGTGTGTGTGTGTGTGTGTGTGTGTGTGTGTGTGTGTGTGTGTGTGTGTGTGTGTGTGTGTGTGTGTGTGTGTGTGTGTGTGTGTGTGTGTGTGTGTGTGTGTGTGTGTGTGTGTGTGTGTGTGAGGTCGTTGGCTCTGGGTTGCCAGTATGTACTCAGTAGTCGAGACTGGTTGGTAAAGAGACTCCAATTTCACTTCAAGGTACCAGTGCATCTAGTGTCTGCTTCTATCAAAGCAGCGTGCTGTATATACTGGTTACCATGGTTACCCCAGCAAGTGTAGGGCGTGCATAGGAAACTGTCTTGGCCGTTTTATGCCGATGTACTCCGTGTGGTGTCGACCAGGTGTGCATTGCTGGTCGGTTCACATGGCTTTGCAGGATGGGAATTGGACAGTTATCTGGCGCTAGTCTAGATCTTGTCCATTATCGTTGCTGTAAGAGAAAATCTGTGGGTGCACATCCAGTGCATTTGCAGATTTGCGTGCTTCTCTTGCGACGGGCGTACACATGCCACATGGTGTGCTTGTATGTATGTATGTATGTATGTGTGCACGCCCGCACATGCGTGTGTGTTTGCATGTGTGTGGAGGAGGAGGGGTTCTGTTCCAATCAGGGTATGTGGCAACACGAACTCCGGCTTACAATTACACCGATGACCGATCTTGAAAAATCAGGCTCACAATCCAAACGGGCTTGGTACTACTGCATTGCAAGACAGCATGCAAAAAACTATTTTGATTGCAATAGATCAATCCTTGTGACAAATCTGTAGAAAGATGTTGCCCTATAATATTCGAACAGTAAATGGCAAGGAGCCAACTTACTTATCGTGGTGGCAAGATATTAAATATTTAGAAGATATAAAATCCATTTGCAGGTCCATGACTGTCTGTAGTGATAATGATCGCAAGTCAAGAGAAGTGTAATTATCACATGAGATTGAACTGAACGCATGGTTGCAGGTCAATATTTTGACAAATAGTCTAATAGATAATAAAGTTTGTTCGCTCACGCAGGTCACACGAGCCGAGCACGTTTGAGCTCGTTCGCGCAAGTACACGTACAGTGCGAATCACAAGCTGACAAACTCACTGTAAATAGAAAGAAAAAAAGGATAATAATCGCCACGTCCGGCGTGCGTGTCTAGGCACATCATAGCATCATGTGGCATGTATTGTATAAGTGAAAGCCTACACACCTCTGAAAATCAGTGAATAAATATGAAGCGTTCTAACATGTTAAAATAATAACTCAATTATCATGAAGGCAAAGACAAAATTCTCCATAGACAATCAAAATTATGAAATAGAAGAAAAAATAAAAAATATTTACATGAAGTACATGTACAATGTATGTGCCAGCAGTACTAAAGAAGGCGTGAAGAATGTATGTGCCAGCAGCTATACTAAAGAAAGCGTGTAGAATGAATTCCAGAGGAAAAGAAAAGCTAAATCAGTCCCTCTGGTCCAGCCAGGGAATTACAAAAGACAGTTTAATGCGTTACATTGATTTACTAGGAACATCTGTAGTCCCATAGTTAATACTTTTAGGCTTGTCGTCGCCAGAAGAGGAAGTCGCCGATCCGGCAGCATCAACCTGGCTTCGGCGGTACGTCTCACGATAGAATATCACCACCAAGCTAGAAGAGCACACGGCAAACGCAGGGACACGAGGAATTGTAAAATATAATTATATTATTTAGAAATCACATGGAAACGAGTCATGAAGCAACTATCCACGACTGTAACAAGATAGTAAGCAGTCAGAAAGTGCGATAACAGGGCACAACAGTGACATGTTACTGAGCTAGAGGCATTCAACATTCAACGACCGGAGACCTAGGTCCCACACACCTCTCGTGCGCAGTCGGCATTCTTTGTTGCCGTGGGACTTACCTTGTGCACAGTTCCGCTGCGCTCACCTTCCCCTCATTGGTCCTACCATAACCTTGAACCTTCCAAGCTGGAAGGCTGTTGGTTTGCGCACTGGAGGTGTGTGGGAGCTAGGTCTCAGGTCGTTGAATGTCTCAGTAACATGTCAGTTGTGTGCCCTGTTATCGCACTTTCTGACTGCTTATTAGCTTGTTACAGTCGTGGATAGTGGCTTCATAACTCGTTTCCATGTGATTTTTCCTATTTAAAATTTTAAATCATATGTATTGGCTCAGTATCCGAGTTAAATATATAACACTATACAAGAGTGATTGGAAACTGTGTTATAATATTTTTACTCTCCAGTGCGAGAAATTACATTTCAAGTCGCATAAAATGAAACAAATTAAACCTGCTGTGCTTACCCGCACGCCGCTATAGACCCCACCAGGACGAAGTTCATTGCCCTGGCTCTCTCGGGATGTGAGGCGTTGAACACGCCCGCCATGCCAATAATCTGAACAGAGCAGAAGCAACATAAGTTAATGCACAGTACAACCTGTGCTTAGTGACCACTGTGATGCGCGTCCACCTGTCTAACGAGACCACTGCGATAAGCGTGTGCACGAGATCGGTCGTTTCAGGACCTAGACCATGTTGCCACATACGTTTGAACCTGACAATGCGTCTTGGGTCCTTGCCGCAAATAGTACTCTATACCCAAGCTAGGGCAGAGCGTACATGTAACACACAACGAAAAAAAAAAAACAGAGCTGAGGGTGGAGAGGTTCCTGCAGGTGTGGAAAAGCCAGACTACCGAACCCCGATAAGAACCATGACACCATGACATTTCATGCTAATCATGGTAACATGGCATTAGCAGAAGACGGCAGTTTAGTCATTTAAAGGTAGTTACCTGGAAGAGTAGACATCCTATGTTGTTGAGTAGGGTCAGAACACCAGCCGCAGTTCCTGAAACATGGGAGTGTAATGTGAAATAGCCGTTGCAGCAACAACAAACATGCACACACACACACACACATGTACACGTGCACACACACACACACACACACACACACACACACGTGCACACACACACACGTGCACACACACACACATCCACACAAACGCACAGTGCAAGAAGCAGCCATAGCAACACTTGTCACGCCTTGAATTCGCAATGATTCTGATGGTCATCTGCTGATATTGTGTGTCGACAGCACACGTCCGACAGGTGAAGAGGGCGCGGGATAACAGAAAACAGGTACATGCACTTGCTGTAAATTCACCCTTCTCAACTTCCCACCAGTTAAAAGGTACACCTTGAAGTACGATTACAGTAGGCACAATGAGGAACAGAATAGGAACTATAACCATGCTGGTATTTTTCTTTAAAAAATATATTTACTTCCTGTCTTGTGTCTGCACTTCATAGCACATACTGAATACAGCCAATAGAAGGAAGTGAGCGTGAACCCAGTCGTCGGTCTAGACGGATGCACTACTGATACATAGTGCAGGTGGACCGACAGCAGAGCAGCCTGTATCTTGTGTTGAGAAAAAAAACCCGCAAACATCTGGCTTCAATAGACGCTTGCCCCTCACATTGCCTTCAACAGGATTGTGCAATACATGACTTTGCATCGGTAATCGTGCCGCAGAACATTATCAACGCTACAATGGCCAGTAGATATCTACGAACCACTTGAAAACGGGCAACCATAGTATCTTTAAAAGCGGAACGGAAGTTGAGAGACAAATCAACAAGAAAACCACTACAGTTCATGTCATATCAAACATACCCTCCGGTACTGGGTAGGCGACCTCTACGGCTGCCTCGTAAAACAGCGGGTTGGTGGCTCCGAGAAACGAGCTGCCCAGGACACAGCTTATGAAGGCACTTCCTGAAGGAACCAAAAGGCAGACCAAAGCAGCGGCGTAACGTAGTTGCACAGACAACATATCTATATGCACGCACACGCACACACACACACACACACACACACACACACACACACACACACACACACACACAAGTCTATGTCCAAATGTACAAGAATAACTAAATGGTATTCTAGCTTGGGTATTTTACGCACTTTGCTTTGTTACAAAAAAATAAAAAAGTAAGACTATAACAGTGAATCGAGTACATCATTGAGGTACCCCTGGAAACAATATCACTATTCTTTGGAAGCAAGTACCGGTATACGCATTGCTATGTGCATGCTAACGTGTGAATGGGTAGGCAGTGCTAACCGATACTCATAACTTGAGTTTTACATGCGTACATGTGCATGTAGTGTCTGAACTCGCCCACATAAGTATTGCACGCTCACACAGACACACAAACATGTACACACATCCGTACTCAGACTGAGACATGCCCATTGCAGAAACGATGATAGCGAACAGCTATGTAAGACGAAGCAACTTGTGCTGGGATTACACCATTCAACAGCTTGCAAGGCTGATGAATTGACCGCCACTAATCTTAGCCTGGAATCCACCACACAGCTGATTGAAGTGGCTTTTTCTGGCCAGTGAATCCCACACACGTACACAGTGTGTCACGTACACACACGTGCGCACGTGATCTCGTGCACGCACGCACATACAGAGTTTCTTACCTAGCCAGTTAACATGTGCTACCTTGTACACGGACAGCACAAACCATGTGAAGCAGGCAACACAGGCAAACAGAAGCACCAGGATCAGACGCTTCAAATTCCGAGGCAGCCTACAGCACAGGTGAATAAAAACACAGCGATAAAGATGAATATAGTGTCCACAAATCTTTCAAAGAACATGCACACGATCGATAGTCACAGATTACAATGCTGTAGCTGTATTGTTTATAGTCTGCACACAACTTCCATCACATTGACGTGGGAAGAAAGGAGAAAGAAAAAAAGAAAGAAAAGAGAGAGAGAGAGAGAGAGAGAGAGAGAGAGAGAGAGAGAGAACAGCAGGAATACAGAGAGGATGGTGCTATGCTAGAACATACAGGTCGGCGATGAATCCAAAGGTCAGTCCAGCAATGATTCCAATGATAGTTGAGAGGCAGCCTAACCAGGCTGTGCTCTTCACAAACATCTCCTTGCCACTGACACTGACGTCATCGTTGTAGCCACTCTGTTTATTCAGGATAATGGAGAGAACACTACTCCAGCCGCTGCAAGAACAAAGCCAAGAGTCAGTTACATACACTGCCATCATGAGACCGTGCACACCACAGACAAGCACGTAAACCAACACCCACACCACCAACACACCCACCCGCATTCACACACACCAGGGTTCTAGTCGAAGGAGGGGGGGGGGGGGGGGGGCACAGCGCCCCCTACTCTGATTGAGCGCCCCCTCCCCTGTGAAAATGTGCCCCTTACTCAAACTCTACTGCAAAACCACCTATCATCAAGAGCCTGAAGCTGTAGCATGGTAGCAACAGTGTAACACTAGGCTACGCTGTGGTCAGTACATTGCCTAGCTGGCAAGCTCACCTGAAAATGCCTTGACTAACACCGCCGCAGATGCACAGGATCCAAAACGTGGAGTTGGATGACGCCGCCAGCAGCGACTCCTTAAACGGCAGTCGCTCTGTTTGAGAACTGAGGCTGGGCGGCGTGGGTGGATGGGCGGGGAAGTACGCAAAGACCATGGCGCAAATCGCGGCGGTCATCCAGAACTCGGTGAACACCATGTACTGTACGCCGGCATAGCCCATCGCGTTGAAGCTGGACACTAACGCGGGCACGAGCAGGAAGCCAAACGCCACGCCAAACGAATTGGACACGGCGCTAATGGCCGTGGCGGACGTACGCTGGCTGGCAGGAAACCAGTCGACGCTCAGCTTGGGCGGCGTTGCCATGACGATTGGGCCGACGGCGGCGTTCAGGATCTGTCCGATATGAACCAGGAAGAACAGGTCAGTCTCATAGCCACGTGGAATGAGGCAGCGTAGACCAGTGCCGATGAGAACCAGCCAGGCGCCTAGCCGCACAAGAGAACGGAGGCCATACCGCTGAAGGTACCACGATGAAAAGAAGACAAATGGAATGAAGATGATCGGTCCCCACGCTGTACACATAGAAAAGGGCAAGATATCAAACGAAGTTAGTACAGGACTACCAGCTGAGTCGGTAGAAAACAGCAGTCTGACACGAGAGATGCTTTAACACCAAGATAAGTACTCAGTAGCCGGTATCTGCGCCATGTTTATGTTGCTTAAATATCATTAGGCATTCTAAGGCTGCGTGGTCCATCTAAAGTAGCATAAGTGCACGCGTGGCATTTCCCTATCTGTGCGAGTGTGTGTGTGTACATGGTGTGCATGTGGCCGGGCGGGTGCGTGTGTGCGCGCATGCGTGTGTGTGTGTGTATGCATGCGTGCGTGTGTGTATGCATGCGTGTCTGTGTGCGTGCATGTGTGTTTGTGTGCACACGCGTGCGTGTGCATGTGTGCGTGTGTGTGTGTGTGTGTGTGTGTGTGTGCCAGCTAGTTCGGTTGGTGGGTACACTTATGCCGGATAGTGTTGGGTCTGTTGCCAACGGGTTCGGCTGCTTGAAGGTGTAATGTTGTACCTACCACCTTTGTTGGTTTCAGGGTTCATATACTTTCTATTTGAAGTATACATACCTGTTGACCATGGACTACTTCTGGCTAGATTAACTCTTGTGTAATCATGGTGCTAGTGAAGCTTGTATCAGATCCACTCTGATTCAGCCACCCACACTAGTAGCAAGTATTACCTTCACTGGGGGCAGGGGTAACTGCAGTTGGACCCCGGGACGGATGCCCTGATGCCGTCAATCCTTTTTCTGCACCTTGTCCTCACCCACTTACTGAGGTGTGGTGAGCCCATAAGTGGGATCATTTTCAAGTCCACCCAGAGTTTTGGGGATTTCAGGGGGTGTCGGCCGTTGGGCGGTTCAATAGCCAATTGAGTCATCTTTCCAAGATTCCTTTTGAGTCTCTCTCCCCTCTCCCGGGGAGACCCACGTGACCAGTTTTGGCAGTGAGCAACAAGTAAGTACAAGTACAAGTGTGTGTGTGTGTGTGTGTGTGTGTGTGTGTGTGTGTGTTATCCACCATGCCATACGACACAGTTTCACAAATACAGGCAAGAGTCCATATTAAACCCAAGATTGTGCACTTATGGTGTACTTTCTATGTGACAACAAGCAGTGGAGTGTTGCCCACAATACAGCACACAGCTGCATCAGGACAGTGGGGAAGACCAAAAACACATCGTTCCCATACTCATAGCTTGAAAGTGACGAGCTGTGAAGAGTGCTTTTGAACCAGATTTGCACACAGGTTATGTAATGCTGGCAATGCACTGTAACGCATAGCTCGCACATCCCGTATACTCCTGGGCCACGGACAATTGCGATACTGGTAGACCAAACACAATGTATGCCTGCACGGTGGTGGAAAGGGTGAACTTGCCGCGTACATACATGTATGGGCAAAGCACAGCCGTTCTTTACACACGGGTCGTAGACCGTGGTGCTAGCCTGTTAGGGTCGCTCAGGTCCCGAGGTTGGCAAAGATGTCATGGGGATTATGCCACTCAAATATCATAATAGACCGAAGATGATGTCATTCGCATTATTCAACCTCTGTAATTAAATTATTTATTCATGAGGCCGATTAGTCATAAAATTAATGTTGTGTCCGAGCTTGTTTTAAAATAATTATTTAAAAACTTTGATCTCATGATTGTTTGCAGGATCTACGGTATCTTGTTGCGCATCTCACCTGCCAGTAAATCCACTTGCCAGGAATCCACACCGTAATAGTCACAAGTCTCATTCGGAATAACGCCATAGGTAAGCCAAATATTGCTCTGCTGGGCTGACAACAGGGAGAAGGCAAATAGCACCCAGAATCGACGTTTGTAGACCTTCAGACCTTGCGTCGTGGCCTCAGGCTCAGGGTCTTCGCAAACTCTAGCACTGGAAAGGACTGGAGTTATTTCGTCCTCCATCCTGAGAGAAATCACAGCCCAAGGCTGGCTTTGCAGTGAACTCAAAGAAAGGGTGTGGAGTTGTCCCTCACTCCACTAGCCATTTCGCGGATGATTAATTTTGTCCACGTCAATGCCAAAAAGAAATTGACAAGACTGAAGATGGGGAACTGGCACGGGTGTCCACCCGTCTGATCGTGACAACAACAAAAAGGAGGACCAGGGGCCGACATCCAGGTCTCAAGCCTCAAGTCTTGTCAAGGTACGTGAGTGTGAAACGCCTATATTTAGTCGAGAAAGTTTTAGACCATGGCGCACTCGCACTTTTTTGAACGGAAGACAAGAAGCGCCGCCTTGGCGTCACATGTCACTGTCACCAAGAGTCCATAAACAGTTTTATTCCCGTAGCTATGCAGAAGACGTTACTTCAGTAACGTCTGGCACTAGCCAGGGTCCACACAGCTTTAATTTGGTGTTTGTTTGTTTGTGTGTTTGTGTCACGCCTGGCGCTATCCCGTATCTGTCCCGTACCGTACCATCAAACACAGCTGGCCACATACAGCTGGCCGCAATATTCAAATAGGGCTTTCAAACGCAAGATCATATTGTGAAGCAACTTGGAAGAATGAGTATGAGTGCGAAGTGTATGGGGGAATGCATGTAGGGCGATAGTGCGGGTTCGAATCCCAGGTAATGCCTGAAAAAAGATAGGAGAATTGAAAAATTTATAACATCCCCTTTCTTTTTTTGCCGTCATCAAGGCGGTAGACGGTGTCGTATTACCCTCGACCGTACCTGTCCCGTACCTGTCCCGTACCTATCCCGTACCGTACCATACAATCAAAGACGACTGGCCACAATGCATATTATAGCAATAAAAACTGCTTTATGGCAGCTTTCTAAAAAAGTTATTGTGTTCTAGTCTTGGGTCCGGCATAGGCTATAGAAAATTTATAAAATTGCTTATCAACTGGCTTGGACTCCGTCTAAAAATTAAGAAATTAACGAAATGTGATTGCAGAAAATTAAAATTTCACACAAAACCTCACAATAATCACAACACTTGAAATGCTGCTTTCAACCAGGGAGTCGTAAAATACCGGTATTTTACGACTCCCTGCTTTCAACACTAAACTAACGTGTACTGCACAACAATTGGCAACATGCATGTTATGCATGCATAGGAAAGAGGATCACGAGGGGAAAAGGTCTTCTAGCTTTTCATCCTGTGTGTGATTATTGTGAGGTTTTGTGTGAAATTTTAATTTTCTGCAATCACATTTCGTTAATTTCTTAATTTTTAGACGGAGTCCAAGCCAGTTGATAAGCAATTTTATAAATTTTCTATAGCCTATGCCGGACCCAGGACTAGAACACAATAACTTTTTTAGAAAGCTGCCATAAAGCAGTTTTTATTGCTATAATTTCTTTTGTTTTTTCTGTCACCAATCAATGGAATGCCCTTATGTGTAAATGATGGCCTTCACATCATATCAATACCGTATTTATTGATGTGCAAGCCTTTTCTTGCAGAAAATGGCACTAGCACAACGCATGTTCTTCTGCTGGGGAAACATGTGGTTAGTGGTGGTGATACTTTTTTTTATACGCAGGTCATTCTGTGCATGTTGCTGTTGCAGAATTTCATAAAATTGTCTTGCCTTTCAGATATTTCAGATTTCCCCACCCTCGATCAGATATACTTGAGAAATGTAGGTGCGTGTCGCAGATGTTATGGTTGATTCTGTGTTTATTGGTTATCGTGATAAGGTCATCCTGCATCATATTGCACTGAAATCGTAATCCTGTTGATGTCGATACAACTTTTGGAAGTAGTTCAATGACTTCAAACTGGTAGTCCACGATTTTCTAAAACAACACAGCAAAGGAGGAGGAGGAACAATAAACATGTATTAAAATGTAAACAAATACATTGTTGAGTCCGGCACCTCATTCCAACAACTACACTGATCCTGAGGATAAAAGGGGCAAGCCTGAGGCCTTCTTACAGGGTACCCTGGAGGTACTGAGAGATAAACAAGGCACTCCATAATAATAAAATGTTACACATCTTTTGCCGTGAGTATGAATGATATCCAGTCGAACCTCTTTAGGACGAACACCAAGGGACCGATGGTATTTATTCTGTAAGTTTGTCTTAACCTATTTTATAACCAGTGAATACATTTCTCCAATAGACATACATGCACGAATAGATTTTCTACAGCGAAGGATTCTAAGCTACACCGACTCGTCTCGTATGAAACAAATGAGTCACTGAACCTTTCTTTAGCAACATGACGGCAACTGAAACAGCAACAGAGAAAGTACGATACATGTACAGCACATTCTTGCAGGTACTACAAACAGATTGCAGATCGTATTTTTTTGCTTTGGCGGCACGCAACTTTATTTGGGGCAGTGCAATCTCGGCGGTACTCACAAATCGAACAGCCCAGACTCGAGTAAACAAATCCAATCATACAAGTACGAGATTTTCACGAGGCGAGACTGCACCCATTGGCTTGTTTCGTATGAAGCAAACAAGTCACTGAACCTCGACATAATGGAGATTTTCCCTGATATGCGAATTTATTTTGCATACTCGGTCAATGGGTCCTTGAACCTTTCCCTCCAAATTGGGAACTGCCAACGATAGTATGCCACTGACCAGTGCCTTACTTGTAACGTACCAATGTACAATGAACATGAGTATTTCGACAACACATCTATTAAAGCCTCAGCAGCAACATAAGCCTTACCGTCAAGAAGGTGAACTCGCGTTCTTCGCACACTGTAGGCAAGGGCAAAGAGATAAAATGGATCTAAATCCGAATAAAATCAGCACATGTTTCCGTAAATGAAAGGGTGAGCATAAGCAAATGAATCGAAGGAAACTGGTCAACTCAGAGATCACCTGTCATTGAGTATTCGGTAAAAGGAGGCCTCGGCAGCGGAAAAGCTAAATTGAGAAAGGAGATCCTGTCAGCTTTTCCATTATTTATTGCATTCCGCCCAAAATCAGCACACTTTTCGTAAATGAAAGAGTCAACACAAGCAAATGTATCAAAGGGAACTGGTCAACTCACCTGTCATTGAGTAATATTCCGCGAAAGGAGGTCTCAGCAACGCCGAAACGAAATAAGCCAGGCCAGGAGACGAAATATCCGAAACAGCTCATGCAAGAAGCAGTTCCAAAGAAGGAAGTGTAGTGATAGTGACTGCGTTGTTCTTACACCACCTAGCTGTCATATGTTGCATTCTACACATCACTGCATGTGTCGTACTCACACCTTCATGATGTGCTACATTCACACTGCTGTATGTTATAGTCTCTTGTCATTCCAGTAATCATTACATTCTGGCCAGCTCACTACACTGGCGCAGTGAACAGCTCAAGCAACTTGACGCTATGGCAAAGGGACGACCTCCGAAAGAATTTTCTCCTGGCTATGGTGGAGATACGGGCGCAGACTTCAATCTCTGGCTAGAAGATGTCGATGATTATATGAAGATCTGCCAAGTGACGGACCCAGGAGAAAAGAAGTGCCTTTTCTTGAATCTCGCCGGTCTCAATGTCAGGAGGATCGTCAAAGGTTTAGTCGTTCCCGTTCCAGACGATGCAACTGACGATAACCCGGGAGACACTTACAAAGCCCTCACTGAGTCACTTCGTTGCCATTTTCGACCGTCCATCAATGCGACGTCAGAGCGGCACAAGTTTCGTCAGATTAGGCAGCTGCCGGACGAATCGGTTTCAACCTTCATGAGTCGGCTGAGAGAGAAAGTGGAACTGTGTAGTTTCGCATCGACAGATGTTGACACGGTAGTCAATACTCAAGTCCGCGACCAGTTAATTGCTGGATTGAGGTCGCAAGACTCGAGGCGCGAACTATTGAAGGAGCCTAAGCTGACTTTGGCGGACGCTCTCTCGAAGGCAGTTGCTATGGAAGCATCACTTTTGGACTCCAACTTGTACAACAGTGAACCAGGACCTAGTGTAGCAGCATGTGTGAAGCCAGAGACCACAGCGGCTGTGTCAGGCAGTGAACCCAAGCACCAGCTCAAGAGGAAAATGACGAAAGGTCCTGGCTGCAAGTACTGTGGTCGACTGCATGCCAATGGAAAGCAGTTCTGCCCAGCAGCACATGTCCGTTGCAACAGCTGCAGGAAAGTTGGCCATTTCGAAGCGGTTTGTCTCTCACGCAAGCCTAACAAAGCCAATGCAGTAGATGCGGAGGAAGACCGCTTCTTGGGTATGGTCACATACTTAGGAAAGTTTGTTCCTCGCCTGACTGAAGCCACAGAGCCGTTACGCCAGCTGATGAAGCGTGAACCATTCACTGTGAACGATGATCTTCTCAAAGCGTTCTCCACAGCTAAGCAAGCTGTAGTCTCTTCATTGCAAACACTTGCATATTTCCAGCCGGATGTAAACGTACCGACAGCAATCAGCTCCGATGCCTCACCTTCTGGTCTGGGAGCTATTCTGTGGCAGCAAAGCAAGGCTGGACAATGGCTGCCCATTACATGCGCCAGCCGCACGCTCACGGACACAGAGTCCCGATATTCGCAGATGGAGCGCGAGATGCTCGGCATAGTGTTTGCACTGACCCGTTTTCGCCAGTATGTTCTGGGTCGTCATGTACAGGTGTACACTGATCACAAACCTCTCATACCGATTGTGCAGAAGGCATTTGACGATGTGCCGCCTCGATTGCAGCGCTGGTTAGTCGCGCTCATGCCGTACGATTACTCCCTCAAGCATGTTCCAGGGAAGGAGCTCTTCTGTACTGATGCACTTTCCAGAGCCCCGGTAGCGTCTACTGATGCTTCTCCAGCCGAATCGCGTTCTCTCCATGAGTATGTTGGCCTAGTTTTGGAAGCCGCTCTAGTAGGCATTGCAGACATTCGTTGTGCTGCACAAGATGATCCAGTAGTGAGCAAAGTGATTCAACGTGTACTGTATGATTCGTGGCTTGACATTTTGCCACCGGAGCACCCCTACTATCTCGTCCGTGATCAGCTGACAGTGGTAGATGGCATCTTAATGTTCGGTGGCAGATTCGTTATTCCTGAAGGTTTACGAACAGCGATCATGACCCTAGCACACGAAGGACATCCTGGACAAGAGGCCTTCCAAGACACCCTGCGCCAGAGAGTCTGGTGGCCAGGAATGACTAAGGATGCAAGCACATACGTGGAACGCTGCTCTGAATGCTGGAGGAGACGT